AAACGACATGTATTAGGAAGTTACACATTATTAATAAAAACTTAGGAAGCAAAAGTTGTTGATGTAGTTTGTTTAAAACCCCAAAAGACCGAATCCCTTTTGCTAATAGTGCACGCAGAGGAGGAACTGAAATGTCCCCAGGCCAAAACACAAACCCTCAGTCACTCCCCGATTTCACAACCAAAATGGCATATATCCTGACTTGCATGAGATGAGATCTGCAACAGAAGGAGCCCTACATTGCCAACGTAACAAAAATCAACTCTAAGAGATCTGAGCCACTTTGTCCTGAAAACAGAAACGAACAAAGTAGAACAAAAAGTGACTGTACAGATCTTCTCTGAAAGACCTCTTCAAATCATCACTTCTGCAGACCCTTGAAGACTTCAGGTTCCTGTTAGTCATGTGATAATGTGTCATGTCAGCACACTCATGACTAACTGAAGATCCCACAGAGATACTGACCGTGCTTAAACCACACACTGAAACTGTGACTGTTCCTGAACAATGGCCCCAGGGCTTGTTGTGATGACATCACTCGCCAAATAAAGACTTGGTCCACCGATACACAAATATCTTTTCTTCTGATACATGAAACTATTTTTGTCTCTTGAAAAACCAAAACATTGTCACAAAGGACAATTATTGTCACAAGATATTTCTCTTTTCATGAGCCAGAGGCACATCCCTTCATCAAATACAAAAATACAACCTTTATAACCTTTTGAACACAGTGTAAACTTTACAACCACTACTTTTTGCTACCCAATTTTTAAACTGTGAATCGGAAATTCTCCCTTGTAGTCACCCCTTGCACATTTAAAATGGCTGTAGTATTTCTGGATGTCTATACATGTGTATTTTAATTGTAAATTGAAAAACTAGAACTCTTGTCTGCACTGCCCGCTGAACCAGCTAGTTCAACTGAAGGGTTGGAAATTTGAGTGAGAGCCAAAGTCAGTCGTTACTGCGAAGCCTGGGCTTGCCCTAGACTACCTGCTGACACTTGTCACTTCAGCTCCCTTTGGCATTTTCTCACGGCTGCTGGAGTCAAGTCTTCTACCTGTTTCCGCATTAATTACTTATTAAAATATATCAACTGAACACTGAAATCTCAACACTTTTCACACCCTTTACTTTCAAAAACACTGAGTTCCACATATTAGAATGACTTTCTTCACTGTCAATCCGATTTTTTAAAATGAAACACATACAAGATTATTCAGTATCTGATACAGTTCTTTGTAGTTTTTGCATGTGTATTAGTACCTTGTTTACAACATGTTACTTTTTCAGTTACATTAGACATGTCATTGTGGCCTCTCTGAGGGCTATCAGGATCTGCATATCAGCACTCATCTCAACGTGAAACCATCTCTCCTCAGATTCTTAATTGTGGAAATTCCTCACTGCCTCCTTGCGTGTGGAACCCAATCTCCATAGCCAGGCTGAAGTAGCTTTAATGATCCTACCTTGGATAAAATAGAGGCATTATAGTCCTAACAGCACTTTTGGCTCTTGAACACTACCTCTATTCATTTCAGAAACAATCTGATTCTCTCTCTACCTCTCTTTGCCCCATCTCACTATTCCCTCTTTTTGCAACAGTCTGTCAACTGGAATCACTTGGCATAGTGTTTGCCATTTCCCCAACATCTCCCTCTTGCTGTCTTCCCGCTGCTGTGGAAAACTATCGATAAATCAAGTGGGAGCCCTGGACTGCAGAGTGCACGTTTTTCTCCCAAGACAAACCTGGTATCCCTGCAAGGTCAGCTTTGATCTCTTTTTTTCAGCTGCAGTACATGTTTTCTGTTCATGCATGCTCATATAAAATACTTCTATTCTGATTGAACAAATAGGGCTCATAAGAAAACAATCATTGATCAATCATTGAATGACATCATTATTAAAAATCTTGAGGTCTCATTACAGAAATATTTTTATGGGCATGTCCTTACGTTGTGCCAGCAATGCTATTTTGTTACACCACTGTGTGAGTAGGCCTGTTTAAATCAGTGTAATCAATTAATTCCATGTGGATGTAATATGTACTTGACTGCTTTGTTTGTGCACTAGGACTGATATCAGAATGGTTTGAGCATTTACCCAACCAGCTGCATTCTGTGGTTTATAGTTTATCAGAGTGACTTATTTATTTATTAAGGACAACATAAGTTAAAAATTAAAAGTTTAACAATATGCCCAATTTAATGTTTGTGACATCAGCAGTTGTAATGCTTTTTTGCATAGCTGCAATAGGAGCCACAAGTTTGGCTTCAACTAGTTTAGTAATTTTCACAGTAGTGAAATTCTGTGTACTAAATATTATATATAAAACTAAGAAACTGTGATGTAAGGAAGAAAATTGTATTTTTATGCACTTACATAGGCCTACATATTCTGACATAGGTTTTCACTCGTACAATTTTCAGTCTGTACACTTGGGCAAATGTGGAAAAATGTAGTTTGTGTTTTCTGCCTTTGTCTCAGACTGAAAATCCGACATCTGAAAAGATCAGAGACCAACGTTCAAAGGTTAATAGACTACATCATTAGCAAAATCCTGACAAAAGGTTTTTTTGTTATTTTTCAAAAAATCTAAACTTGAGAGTTCTTTGTTTTTAATTAAAGGCATTTTAGTCAAGTTATACGTTCATTTCCACTCTTTAGGCTTCCATTAAAAAGTGAAAATGACAGATTTAACTTGACTAAAATGAGTGTCTTGTACTGACATAAGAAGGTAGAAAACACACATTCCCTGCTTACCCAATAATCAATGTTTGATGAAAACCCTGAAATCTTTCATTTAAATTACAAATGAAATACTATGTGATCCTCAACAGCCTGAAAAGTACAATATTTAAATCTAGGAAGAATTATGAAAACTACTTAACTAACCTTAACTTGTTTAAGGTTACTAACTAAGTAATCTTAAACAAAGCTGTTCACTGTTCCTGAAAAGGACATTTTGTAGATTTATGACTTTCACTTCACAACAGCACAGCAGTGTTTTCTGTCACTGTTACCGTAGTACATAACAGAAAATATGTCAAAAGAAAAACCTAGTACTTACCTCATGACCAATACTACAGTTTTGAGGGTGTGGCTGATGCTATTTTTTTAAAGCCTGCTAAACGGATCTCAGTACCTATTAGTCACAGTGTGCTTGTTTTTGTGTTTTTTTTCTGCATTGATTACTGAACTGAGCAAAAAACTGACATGATTACACATGCCCACGGCTGGGAGTGGGGAGATGGGGGAGATCATCACGTCACAGTTTTTTGTGACAGTGTGTGTGTGTGTCAAGCCGCTCCTAGGTTAAGTGTATAAAAGACCAACTGCAGCCTTGCTTAAACATTTACTCTTGGGGATCTCTCCAGCAAGACATTACTGACTTCCAGAGATACAACTTTTGGACCCTTTTTTTTGGACAACTGTGCGAGAAGCTTCCTGAGGAGATATGGTGTCAGCTGCTCTTCAGATGTTGGGCACTGCCCTGTGCATTATTGGCTGGATAGGTACCATCATTGTCTGCGCCTTGCCGCAGTGGAAAGTGACAGCCTTCATCGGTCAGAACATTGTCACTGCTCAAACCAGTTGGGAGGGCATCTGGATGTCCTGTGTGGTCCAGAGCACAGGGCAGATGCAGTGCAAGGTTTATGACTCAATGTTGGCCCTTTCCAGTGACCTCCAGGCTGCCCGCGCCCTCATCATTATCGCTATCCTTGTCGGTATCTTCGGCATCCTCCTGGCCATCGCAGGGGGCAAATGCACCAACTGCGTGGAGGACGAGGGCCCCAAAGCCAAAATTGGCGTGACATCTGGTGTGGTCTTCATTATTGCCGGTGTTATGTGCCTCATTCCTGTGTGCTGGACAGCAAACACCATCATCAGGGATTTCTACAACCCATTACTGATGAGCTCTCAGAAAATGGAGCTTGGAGCTTCTCTCTTCATTGGCTGGGGTTCTGCTGGCCTCCTCATCCTGGGTGGTGGACTCCTCTGTTCCAACTGCCCTCCCAAGGATAACCACTCTGCCAAGTACTCAGCTCCCCGTTCAACTGCACCTAAGGGCTATGTCTGAGGAGGGAAAAGCCAAATGACAAGACGAAGAGACTGAAAAGGACTTGAATCAATTGCTTTGTGGTCCATACTATTGATTCATATTGTCACAACAAGTATGATTTATATTTCACAGTGATTTTATTGTGATCGAAATTTAATTTGATACTTTCATGTTGAGTTACAGCAATTTAGTATATGTTCAATCAGTGCTAAGATAAAGAGATGTGCACCACACCCAAAAAACTGTATGCGGACTGAGTGACAAAATACCCACTCAGTGGGAGTGAAAAATATACACATTGGAACAACATTTGACACATTACTTTCGTTATTTGAATTGTAAAACTATTTTGTAATTGTACCTAGCTTTCATTAATTTGTGTCATTTTATATTTCATTTCATTTTAAGTCTTTTTCATCTGACTGCCTGAAACTGTAAATAAACATTTTTTCATCAACATTGAATTATTATGTTTTGGACATTCTTTTGAATTTTATAACATGGTATTGAAAGAGCTTCATCTTAGGCTAAAATGGAGGCTTCAGAAAGAAATGATGGGATAGGGCTCTGCTATAGAAAATCCATGGATTTTAGCTGATTGTCTTTTATAAAAGTAATACAAAATTCTACATATTATCAACCAAAAACAAAACCTCAATACTCCTAATTGCTTTACACTGAAATTAGGAGTGTAGGCAGACAAAAGAAGAGTGAAACAATTAAACTTAACTGAGACGTAATATGAATAACAACATGTGTACATGAGTATGTAAAACACCTCAAAACACACTCTACATTATATGCACATCTAATACAAGGTTGTTTATCAAGTAGTCTTTTCCTATTATTATCATCAATTATGAGATGAGATTTTTACAGGAAACCTAAATTTTGTGACTTTACCTGTCCAACACTGCCCCTAGCTGTAAAGAGAATAACTTTTTTTTAAGTGTTTTTAGCTTTTATTCTCGTTCAGAACTGAAACTTCAATCCATGTCACAGAAGTCTTGTTTTTTAAAAATAAATTTCCTTAATTGTTTTCAGTGTCTTTTATTTGTACCTGACCTTAAAGCTTTGGATTCTAGCAAGTCAGCAGAGCAGAAGGTCACTGGGTCTCTGTTTGTGTGTAAACTCCTTCTAGCCAATGGGACAATGGTATCACATAACCTCATTTCTGTGTGTTCTAACAAAACAAGCTATAAATACAAGCATACATCATTCCACTCGTCTTTCTTTTTGGATTTGAAGATAAGAGGAACAAAGCTGGCAAAATGGTTTCTCAGGGGATTCAGATATTTGGTATGTTGATGGCTTTAATTGGCTGGTTCATGGTGATTGTGGTGTGCGTCTTGCCCATGTGGAAGGTCACTGCTTTCATCGGAGCTAACATCATCACAGCTCAGATCATCTGGCAGGGCATGTGGATGAACTGTGTGGTGATGAGTACAGGCCAGATGCAGTGCAAGGTGTATGACTCAATGATGGCCCTGCCCCAGGACCTGCAGGCAGCTCGTGCCATGATCATCATCTCCATCCTGACTGGAATATTTGGAGTGATCTTTTCAATCGCTGGTGGAAAATGTACTAATTTCATTGAGGAGGAGCGATCCAAGGCGAAGGCTTGCATCCTGGCTGGAGTTTGGTTCATCATCTCGGGGTTGCTTTGTCTCATTCCAGTCTCCTGGTCTTCCAACTCCACCATCATCAACTTCTACAATCCGCTCGGGATTGAACCTCAGAGGTATGAATTAGGAGCGGCACTGTATATCGGCTGGGCAGCTGCTGCACTGCTGCTGATTGGAGGGGAGCTACTTTGTTGGAACTGCCCCCCCAACACCCCCACTTCATACCCAAATTGACACCTGTGAAGTCAGTGTCCACATCAAGACTATATGTATGAGTTGGTTAAAACCTCCTAAATGGACTTACAAAGCTTAAATATATAGTCACATGAAGTATATGTAACATGTAATGACAGCTTACCACCAGATTGCAGTTGGTGTATGTGTCTAAGTGACCTTTCTCACAGTTTACATCTTGTCAAGCAAGTGCAACTGACAGCATAAACAATGACTTTATTCCATCAGCAGGGCCCTCGGCAGGGGTGTAGCACAAAATTCTGGGCCCCATACAAGTCTCTGTGGGCCATCTTCCTCTCTTGGTCCCTGTCTCTCACGCGTCTTTTGAAAAAAGTTGACAAATAATTGAGCTAACAACTGTAACAATTAAACTGTTCTTACCACATTTAAACAAGTAATAACAAGGGCATCAATTTGTGTTGAAAAGTGGCTCAGATTAGGGAAAATTGGAACATTTAACATTTAATTTCCTGCATTCTGGACGTATTTCCGCTACAAATTAAAGTGGAAATGTCTTTATTTATATAAAGGGAAACAAAATCAACGGCACTGTAAGCAGAGGAGATGATAATGCAGCAATGCATTGACATGATACAGTATATCCATAGTGTGTGAGGAGGTTACTGCAGTGTAGTTTCCATAGGAAACAGGATAGAGGATAAATCACTTCCTGTAACAAAGTCATAAGGTGTTCAATGAAAAAAGCAAGCACCAGGGACCAGATGGGCAAGATTTTTTGTGCACAATACTGGGTAAGGTGTGGGAAAAATTGAGTTTGTTTACCCAACAGGGGTATCTACAATATAGGTCATGTAGTTTAATGTATTTAAAGTGCAAAGTGACAGTATAGTTGTCTCGACTGCCTTTCTGTATCTCATCACTCCATCAATGCTGAAACTGATCTCTCTTTTTAATCGTGGTGCAGATTGTGTGTCTTAATTCGGCCACATCCTGTGTCTTGATCTTTGCATCTGCTTTCTGGTTTCTGTTCATCAACACCAGCCATACAGCAAACGTTCAACATCAGGGACCAAGCAACTAGTGGACTGATTAACTGTGTGTCTTATCCATTTTTGGTTTGTACCACGATTTTAGCCTATTTTTTTTATCTATATAGACAGCTATAGCTCAGTAATTTAACAGATTATAAAAGCATACAAGAAACAACATTATGAAAACTACTTAACTAACCTTAACTTGTTTAAGGTTACTAATTAAGTAACCTTAAACAAAGCTGTTCACAGTTCCTGAAAAGCGGACATTTTGTAGATGTGTGACTTTCACTTCACAACAGCAGAGCAGTGTTTTCTGTCACTGTTACCGTAGTACATAATAGAAAATATGTCAAAAGAAAAAACTTGTACTTACCTCTTGACCAATACTACAGTTTTGAGGGTGTGGCTGATGTGTGCTATTTTTTTAAAGCCTGCTAAACGGATCTCAGTACCTATTAGTCACAGTGTGCTTGTTTTTGTGTTTCTTTTCTGCATTGATTACTGAACTCAGCAAAAAACTGACATAATGACACATGCCCACGGGTGGGAGTGGGGAGATGGGGGTGATCATCACATCACAGTTTTTTGTGACAGTGTGTGTGTGTGTCAAGCCGCTCCTAGGTTAAGTGTATAAAAGACCAACTGCAGCCTTGCTTAAACATTTACTCTTGGGGATCTCTCCAGCAAGACATTACTGACTTCCAGAGATACAACTTTTGGACCCTTTTTTTTGGACAACTGTGCGAGAAGCTTCCTGAGGAGATATGGTGTCAGCTGCTCTTCAGATGTTGGGCACTGCCCTGTGCATTATTGGCTGGATAGGTACCATCATTGTCTGCGCCTTGCCGCATTGGAAAGTGACAGCCTTCATCGGTCAGAACATTGTCACTGCTCAAGCCGCTTGGGAGGGCATCTGGATGTCCTGTGTGGTCCAGAGCACAGGGCAGATGCAGTGCAAGGTTTATGACTCAATGTTGGCCCTTTCCAGTGACCTCCAGGCTGCCCGCGCCCTCATCATTATCGCTATCCTTGTCGGTATCTTCGGCATCCTCCTGGCCATCGCAGGGGGCAAATGCACCAACTGCGTGGAGGACGAGGGCCCCAAAGCCAAAATTGGCGTGACATCTGGTGTGGTCTTCATTATTGCCGGTGTTATGTGCCTCATTCCTGTGTGCTGGACAGCAAACACCATCATCAGGGATTTCTACAACCCATTACTGGTGAGCTCTCAGAAAATGGAGCTTGGAGCTTCTCTCTTCATTGGCTGGGGTTCTGCTGGCCTCCTCATCCTGGGTGGTGGACTCCTCTGTTCCAACTGCCCTCCCAAGGATAACCACTCTGCCAAGTACTCAGCTCCCCGTTCAACTGCACCTAAGGGCTATGTCTGAGGAGGGAAAAGCCAAATGACAAGACGAAGAGACTGAAAAGGACTTGAATCAATTGCTTTGTGGTCCATACTATTGATTCATATTGTCACAACAAGTATGATTTGAATTTCACAGTGATTTTATTGTGATCGAAATTTAATTTGATACTTTCATGTTGAGTTACAGCAATTTAGTATATGTTCAATCAGTGCTAAGATAAAGAGATGTGCACCACACCCAAAAAACTGTATGCGGACTGAGTGACAAAATACCCACTCAGTGGGAGTGAAAAATATACACATTGGAACAACATTTGACACATTACTTTCGTTATTTGAATTGTAAAACTATTTTGTAATTGTACCTAGCTTTCATTAATTTGTGTCATTTTATATTTCATTTCATTTTAAGTGTTTTTCATGTGACTGCCTGAAACTGTAAATAAACATTTTTTCATCAACATTGAATTATCATGTTTTGGACATTCTTTTAAATTTTATAACATGGTATTGAAAGAGCTTCATCTTAGGCTAAAATGGAGGCTTCAGAAAGATATGATGGGATAGGGCTCTGCTATAGAAAATCCATGGATTTTAGCTGATTGTCTTTTATAAAAGTAATACAAAATTCTACATATTATCAACCAAAAACAAAACCTCAATACTCCTAATTGCTTTACACTGAAATTATATATATTTTTTTAATTTTAGAGTGTAGGCAGACAAAAGAAGAGTGAAACAATTAAACTTAACTGAGACGTAATATGAATAACAACATTTTAATAGAGTATGTAAAACGCCTCAAAACACACTCTACATTATATGCACATCTAATACAAGGTTGTTTATCAAGTAGTCTTTTCCTATTATTATCATCAATTATGAGATGAGATTTTTACAGGAAACCTAAATTTTGTGACTTTACCTGTCCAACACTGCCCCTAGCTGTAAAGAGAATAACACTGCAGATGTTTTCATTTTTAAGTGTTTTTAGCTTTTATTCTCGTTCAGAACTGAAACTTCAACTCCTACCTAAATTAATTTTTTGTCTCTTATTTGTACCTGACCTTAAAGCTTTGGATTCTAGCAAGTCAGCAGAGCAGAAGGTCACTGGGTCTCTGTTTGTGTGTAAACTCCTTCTAGCCAATGGGACAATGGTATCACATAACCTCATTTCTGTGTGTTCTAACAAAACAAACTATAAATACAAGCATACATCATTCCACTCGTCTTTCTTTTTGGATTTGAAGATAAGAGGAACAAAGCTGGCAAAATGGTTTCTCAGGGGATTCAGATATTTGGTATGTTGATGGCTTTAATTGGCTGGTTCATGGTGATTGTGGTGTGCGTCTTGCCCATGTGGAAGGTCACTGCTTTCATCGGAGCTAACATCATCACAGCTCAGATCATCTGGCAGGGCATGTGGATGAACTGTGTGGTGATGAGTACAGGCCAGATGCAGTGCAAGGTGTATGACTCAATGATGGCCCTGCCCCAGGACCTGCAGGCAGCTCGTGCCATGATCATCATCTCCATCCTGACTGGAATATTGGGAGTGATCTTTTCAATCGCTGGTGGAAAATGTACTAATTTCATTGAGGAGGAGCGATCCAAGGCGAAGGCTTGCATCCTGGCTGGAGTTTGGTTCATCATCTCGGGGTTGCTTTGTCTCATTCCAGTCTCCTGGTCTGCCAACTCCACCATCATCAACTTCTACAATCCGCTCGGGATTGAACCTCAGAGGTATGAATTAGGAGCGGCACTGTATATCGGCTGGGCAGCTGCTGCACTGCTGCTGATTGGAGGGGGGCTACTTTGTTGGAACTGCCCCCCCAACACCCCCACTTCATACCCAAATTGACACCTGTGAAGTCAGTGTCTACATCAAGACTATACGTATGAGTTGGTTAAAACCTCCTAAATGGACTTACAAAGCTTAAATATATAGTCACATGAAGTATATGTAACATGTAATGACAGCTTACCACCAGATTGCAGTTGGTGTATGTGTCTAAGTGACCTTTCTCACAGTTTACATCTTGTCAGGCAAGTGCAACTGACAGCATAAACAATGACTTTATTCCATTTAGTTGTGTCAGCAGGGCCCTCGGCAGGGGTGTAGCACAACATTCTGGGCCCCATACAAGTCTCTGTGGGCCATCTTCCTCTCTTGGTCCCTGTCTCTCACGCATCTTTTGAAAAAAGTTGACAAATAATTGAGCTAACAACTGTAACAATTAAACTGTTCTTACCACATTTAAACAAGTAATAACAAAGGCAACAATTTGTGTTGAAAAGTGGCTCAGATTAGGGAAAATTGGAGCCTTTAACATTTAATTTCCTGCATTCTGGAGATATTTCCGCGTGGAAATATCTTTATTTATATAAAGGGAAACAAAATAGATAACAGCAGATAACAATTCATAAATTTAAAAATATAACAGAATATAATGCAGTAATCAGCTGTAATTTTTGGATGATGCACATGTTTCGTCTATACTTACATTGCATTGCATGTTTTCTTATTGTGCAATAATTCTCATAGCCTTTTCATTTGTTAGTTAACATTTCCTGGCACAAGTTATTTTTCAGAACATTTTTAACAAATGCTTTCAAAAAGTAATGGGGACAAAATCAGCCATTTCAAAATGTGGTGGGGACATGTTCCAGCATCCCCAGTGTAAATTACACTTTAATAATTATATTTATAATAATAATCTGGGATTTGTGCTTAAATCTGCACAGTTTAAAATCTCACAACATTTCAACCCTCTTTTCTCAACATGCTGTATCCTACAATTACTTTACTATGGTTACTATGGTTACTATGGTACTATGGTTGTTATAAGTTTTAGTGGCATCTAGTGGTGAGGTTTGGGAATTACAATCAGAGGCTCACGGTGCATTCACATGCTCCTCGAATGGTCCCATTTCCCGAGTTGTGAAGTCGCTCTTCCAATTTCAGTGTGTGTTCACGTGCTCTTGCGTCGGAATGTGGAATCAACATGGATGCTACTACAAAGATGTGTTGGATTAGCATTATCAGAGCATATCAACAACATGCAGACACCTAGTTGACTTTACATGGATAGCAAATTAACCGTTATAACCATATTATAAATTACATGCAAAATATGTATATAAAATACGTGATTTGCCACAAATCAAAGTTCTGTATACGTCTTTATTTCCCTTGTACACTTTATTTCTCTTTTTGAAATAAAGACTTGAGGAAGTATTATATAAGTATTGTATTATAGTATCATTGTATCTTTTTATATCTTTTGTGTACTTGTAAATTTTTTCTGATCTCCTTACTTTTCATATATTTATATTACTATTTATGTTATGTGTACTATAACTGCTACTAATAACAATACATGTTCTTCTTGTTCTTCTTCTTCGGACGTATTCAATGTAATGACGAAACTCCGTAGAGCCGTTTGTCCATTTGGCTAGTGTAGAAAGATGGCCATGCAACATGGTGAAGTCCATGTAAGGGGATCCGATGTTTATACACCACATGAAAGCATTTGTGTCAATAGATCCTCCTAAATACTACACACTGAACCTTTAAATAGCCTTTGCCATGACTATCATGCTTTAAATAACATTATTTTCTTCATGAAGGAAATAAGCATAGTGGCATTTCACCAGAAATGAAGATTGAGGGAATTAAAATCAACGACACTGTAAGCAGAGGAGATGATAATGCAGCAATGCATTGACATGATACAGTATATCCATAGTGTGTGAGGAGGTTACTGCAGTGTAGTTTCCATAGGAAACAGGATAGAGGATAAATCACTTCCTGTAACAAAGTCATAAGGTGTTCAATGAAAAAAGCAAGCACCAGGGACCAGATAGGCAAGATTTTTTGTGCACAATACTGGGTAAGGTGTGGGAAAAATTGAGTTTGTTTACCCAACAGGGGTATCTACAATATAGGTTAACAGATTATAAAAGCATACAAGAAACAACACATCAGCTTAATTTGATCAAACTAATTAGTGACAAAAAATATCATCTAGTGAAAACACTGCACAGAAGGAATAAAGAGAAACTCACAAAATCTTTCCATCCTTACCTCCAAAATTGTCTGTGTTGTTGCAAACACAATAGAGTAAAATTCTTCATAGTCTATATGCAATTCTCTATTATGAACAACAGAGTAAGCACAAACTTTTGTTGTGCTTGCTTATCAGTTGTGTGTTAAGATGCCCAACCACTAGTAAAGAGCTTGTTTGTGTAAAAAAAATACAACTACACTTAATTTGATCATTTGCCATCCTTTATAGTCTGATCTGGTTTTAGGATATTTGAAGTCACTAAGGGCTGTTCTGCAGAGACATCTGCATATGATAGTGAGTTTTCCAAGAACAAAAGCGAGGAATTGTTTAAACCTGGGTGCCACTCCCTTTGTTCTCGGAGAAGGAATCTTGTTTGACCAGTAGAACTCACCTGACACCAATACAGCCCTCCTCCTGTACATTCTCTGACAAACAACAAGGGAGAGAGCTGTGTCACTCCGAAAGAGAACAAGACCTGTGTGCTGAAACACTTCTCTCTCCTGTCGCAGACGAAGCCTCTTCACCATGGGGAGGATTGGCAAGGAAGTGGCAGCATTGGTTTTAAGTATCATAGGCCTTATTGGAGTGGCGGTGACTGCTGGGATCCCCATGTGGAGAGTAACTTCCTACATTGGAGCCAACATTGTGACAGGCCAGATAGTGTGGGATGGTCTATGGATGAACTGTGTGATGCAGAGCACTGGGCAGATGCAGTGCAAGCTGGAGTCGTCTATTATGACACTGACTGCTGATCTGCAAGCCGCCCGAGCCCTGGTCATCATCTCCCTCGTGTTCTGCTTCGTCGGTGTCGCGATCACCTTTTATGGAGCCAAGTGCACCGGCTGCATCAAAAAGGATTCATCAAAAGCCAAGGTGGTGATCCTGGGTGGCATTCTCATCATTATTTCTGCTATCCTGGTCCTGATCCCCGTCTGCTGGTCTGCAGCTGTCACCATCGCAGACTTTCAGAACCCATTGGTCATTACAACACAGAAGAGGGAACTCGGATCCGCCATCTACGTCGGCTGGGGCTCTGCTGCAGTTCTTCTGATCGCTGGGATCATCCTAACCACATCATGTCCTCCTCAAGAAGCCAAGTATGGATATCCAGGCTACCCACCAGCACAATTGTACCCTTACGCAGGTCCATTGACAAACCAGGCAACGTATGCTCCTGTGTATGCTCCCCCGTCCACATACACAGGCACTGGAACATACTTACCCGGCAAACCGTATGGAGCACCTACCACATACTCTGCTAGACAGTTCATCTAATAACTAAAAAGACAGAAAGATGATAAAGACTGAGATTTCTGCCATGATTGCTTCAATAACTTCTTATGCCTTTAGGACGTGAAATTGCACCAAAATACACATAGTTTTCCCTAGAGGATGTTATGTGTTCATATACAATGTTGAGATTTAAACTTATTCACTCAAAAATCACTGTGACCTTTGATTATTAAAAATCTTTCATTAAATGTTTTCTCATTTGGATTGATTTTGAGCTCTAAAATACTTAATGACGTCTTGAAGCGGAATACTGTATCAACATGGCTGTGAAGGTTGCATTGCTTTTTCATAAGGAAGTCTGTGTCGATATATTTATTTCCTTGTTATGCGGAGCAGACTTTGTAAAGTTTGTTTTCTGTAAATGCCACTTTACTTATGAGATTTTTTGAAAGAATTTTAATAAAATGTTTCGAGTATTTTTACATCTGTTTGTCGAGTCTTTTTTACAAAATATTTTACTAGCATTGTTATGAAATGTTTCCTGTGAAGATGAGCTCGGACATTTTACAATGTCAGAGCCCTGTATATGTCTGTGTCTGGGTGAGTGAGAGGCAGAAACAAAATAAGCCAATATCATTTTTCTTCTATACATGTATAAGAATTATAATAAAGGATTTTCTAAAACATTTTATTACATTTTAATGACTGTGCGTCATTGTACTATAATCCGTCCATACTATAAATCCATCAGCGCTGTATAAGTTATTCTCAAGCTAACGTGATTATAAGGAAGTTTTCCATGTGTTCTGACCGTGTGAAGTGCTCTCTGTTTAGAACCTACATTACACCATTATGTACTGCTCAGTTGTGGTCTAACTATAAGAAAAAGAGTATGCAGAGGCTTAAGGTAGCATATTCTGATGCAATGAGGCTGCTGCTTCATGTCCCTAGGTGAAAAAAATATAGAGAGGTTTAAAATATAAAAAAGAGGTTTACGCAGTGATCAAATTACCTGCAACATTGATCTGCATACCTTCATTCTGACTGGAAAAAAAACATAAATTTCTAGAATCGTTTGGAAAACATATAGACTGATGATTAAACAGAAGCAATGGGTAAAAGCAGGACAATCAAACCATAAATGGATGTTCCGTCTGTCAACGTCTGACATCCGGTGAACTCCCATCCTTGTTGTTTTGTTTTTTTTAAACCTGAAACCAGTGACTGGACTTGATTTTCCGGTTACTTGCCCAACCAAAGGTTGGCCACTGGTAGGTCATTGTTTCAATGAGGAATCTTGTGCCTCTTTGCAGGCTTAATTTACATAGACTCGTTTAAGATTGCTCTTGATCTCATCGAAACTATCCCCAGTCCACATAATGTGAAGAATCTTGTTGGGCAGATACCTGCTCTAAATGTAGTGATGTTTCACGTCAGAGGGAAGGACGAGTTCTGACTCCACCTTCAAGACAGACAGCTTTATAACCAAAGAAAATGTGCCACGGTCTCCATTCAACTCTACAACCAAAGACCTGCTCCTGAAACCTTCAACGTTTTTGCTTCTGTTCAGTGACTCAAACAAGACTTCAACATGGTGTCGATGGGACGACAGATGCTGGGCTTAATCCTGGCCATCATTGGCTTCCTGGCGACCATCATTGTGTGTGCCTTGCCCATGTGGAAGGTCACAGCCTTCATTGGAGCCAACATAGTGACAGCGCAGATCATCTGGGAAGGCTTGTGGATGAACTGTGTGATGCAGAGCACAGGCCAGATGCAGTGCAAGATCTATGATTCTTTGCTGGCTCTACCTCAGGACCTTCAGGCTGCCAGAGCTCTTGTGATCGTTTCCATCATCGCTGCTGCCTTTGGTGTCATCCTGGGCATCGTGGGAGGCAAGTGCACCAACTTTATGCAGGATGAAATTTCCAAAGTCAAGGTGGCCATTGCTGCTGGAGTCGTCTTCATCATTGCCGGTGTTCTTGTCCTCGTCCCTGTCTGCTGGTCTGCCAACACCATCGTCAGAGATTTCTACAATCCCCTTTTGACCGACCCTCAGAGGAGAGAGATGGGGGCTTCGCTCTACATCGGCTGGGGTGCAGCTGGGCTTCTCATCCTGGGTGGTGGTCTCCTCTGTAGCTCCTGCCCTCCCAAAGACAGCCCAGAGTATCCAGTCAAGTACTCCGGTGTGAGGTCGACAGCAACCAGCCAAGCCTACGTCTGAGAGATCGATTCTCTTGAGAAAGACTGCAAATTATTTTACTTTTGTTAGGTGATCCTCCTTCATTGTGAGTTTCTCACTTTTTTGTGACATACAGTGAGAACAAATTTACTGAGAAATTCAGATTTCTTTGGTGGAGGCAAGAGTGTTTCTTGAGGAAAGAAAAACACTGTGGTATGAAACTACAGTACTGGCAAAAAAAACTCTTTCAGTATACTGACTGGACTGAATGAGAGCTATTCAATATCAAACTTATAACAAACTAAATTTGCCTCTGAATGTTAAGTAAATCTATGCTGTGCTAGAATAATGTTAATGGTTGATAAAAGCTATGATTGACAGAAATTTTTACTTTACCACTGATACATTGTGAATTTACTGTAGATAATATTTTACAAATATCTTATAAACCATATGCAGCACCAACCAAATACTATTAATATCTATTGCACTATAATTGCAATATAATATAATAACTATTAATATCTTTTGCACTATAACTATTATAATTGAAAGGACAGAAAGAGAATAAAGACTGAGATTTCTGCCATGAGGCCTTCACAAACTTGTTATCCCATTATAGAAAGTAAAATTGCACAACACTACACATTGTATTTCTAGAGGATGGTATGTGATCCAATACATTGTTGTGATTTAAAATTAATTTACTCAAACAGTCACTGTGACCTTTGATTATTATAAATCTTTCATATTTTTATTTCTTTTGGATTGATTTTTTGCATTCAAGTAGAAATATTTGCAGTTCATGATGTCTGGAATATTGTATCAACATTTTTGTGAAGGTTGCATTGTTTTTTCATAAGGAAGTCAGTGTCAATTTATTTATTTCTTCGTCATACAAAGCAGATTTTGTAGAGTGATGATTATGATGTGGTTTTTTTTGTAAATGCCACTTTATTTTTCGAGATTATATAACAGAATTTCAATAAAACATTTGTGGTATATTCACATCTGTTTGTGGAGTCATTTTCACAAAGTATTGTTACTTGCAATGTTATGGATTGTGATCTCTGAAAATGAGCTCAGACATTTTACAAGGTCAGAGCACTTCTTTGTGTCTGTGTATTGGTGAGTAAGAGGAAGAAACTAAATAAGCTAAAATCAATTTTCTTCTATAAATCTATAAGAATTATAATAAAGGATTTTCTAAAACAATATTTTATCTAATTTTAATGACTATGTTATTTTAGTTTAAACTGTAAGGGGCTTACTAAAATCACTGAAATACACAAAGTAACACAATACACCTAGTAAAAATAATAATATGGGTTAGTGATCTAACTAACTGTGACATTTATCCGGTATTTTCCTTCAGATTGAAAAAAAACATGAATCAATTCCTAGAATCATTTGGAAAATATATAGTAATGATTAAACAGAAGTAATGAGTAAAAGCAGTAAAATCGAGCCGTAAATGAAGGTTTCGTCTGTTGACGGCTGCCATCCGGGGACCCTCCCACCAATATTGGTGTGTTTTTTTTAAAACCAGAAACCCTTGACTGGATCTGATCTCTGGTAAACTGCCAAATCAATGGTTGGCCACTGGCAGATCACTGTTCCTCTTTACAGGCCACATTTACAGAGTCGTTTAAGACTGCTGCTGATCTCATCGAAACTACTCCTAGTCCACATACAAATAATGTGAAGAATCTTGTTGGGCAACTGTGACTGGTTTCAGGTCAAAGGGAAGAATGTTCTGACTCCACCTTCAAGACAGACAGCCTTATAACCGAAGAAAATGTGCCACGGTCTTCATTCAACTTGGGCTGTGCTGACCTGCTACTGAAACCAACTTTTTTGCTTCTGTTCAGTGACTCAAAGAAGAACTCATCATGGTGTCGATGGGACGACAGATGCTGGGCTTAATCCTGGCCATCATTGGCTTCCTGGCGACCATCATTGTGTGTGCCTTGCCCATGTGGAGGGTCACAGCCTTCATTGGAGCCAACATAGTCACAGCGCAGATCATATGGGAAGGCTTGTGGATGAACTGTGTGATGCAGAGCACAGGCCAGATGCAGTGCAAGATCTATGATTCTTTGCTGGCTCTACCTCAGGACCTTCAAGCTGCCAGAGCTCTTGTGGTCGTTTCCATCATCGCTGCTGCCTTTGGTGTCATCCTGGGCATCGTGGGAGGCAAGTGCACCAACTTTATTGAGGATGAAATTTCCAAAGTCAAGGTGGCCATTGCTGCTGGAGTCGTCTTCATCATTGCCGGTGTTCTTGTCCTCGTCCCTGTCTGCTGGTCTGCCAACACCATCATCAGAGATTTCTACAATCCCCTTTTGACCGACCCTCAGAGGAGAGAGATGGGGGCTTCGCTCTACATCGGCTGGGGTGCAGCTGGGCTTCTCATCCTGGGTGGTGGCCTCCTCTGTAGCTCCTGCCCTCCCAAAGACAGCCCAGAGTATCCAGTCAAGTACTCTGGTGCCAGGTCGACAGCAACCAGCAAAGCCTACGTCTGAGAGATCGATTCTCTTGAGAAAGACTGCAAATTATTTTTCTTTTATTAAGTGACACTCCTTTATTATGAGCTTCTTACTTGATTGTGACAGCAAGAACTTATTTTCTGGGAAATTAAGATTTCTTTGGTGGAGGCAAGAGAGAGCGTTTCTTGAGGAAAGAAAGACACAGTACAAAGATGTGATGTGAAACTACAGTCCTGGCAAGAAAATCTTCAACAGCAACAGTATAATGACTGGACTGAATGAGAGCTATTCTATATAAAACTTGTATCAAACCTAATTTTCCTCTTTGCAATAGAAGGATATTGCTATGATTGACAGAAACTTGTACTTTACCACTAATACATTGTGAATTTATTGTATAAAATATTTTACAAATATCTGTATTCGCAAAATAACAAAAGACTGCTTTTGTTTACTGAAGTTAGTGATTTTTAATAACACATTTAATAAATGATATTCTTAATAAGAATAAGTGAAGTGCCTATTCTTTTGTTCACAAAGAGTTGACTTATGTTTTGTTCATCTTTTTTTGCTGTGACTAGTTGTAAGCATCACATTTGTTATAATCCACTACATGCAATGGTCCATTTATCTTAGAAACACTCTTTAAAGGAAGCAAAATTGTCAAGGTTTAGAATTCAAAGAGGTCACAAACTAGAAAGTAGGCTATAACTAAGCAGAAGGCAGTGTATTCAAAAACATCCAGCAGTTTGCTTGAATTCTTCACGGTGAAGTTCTTCTAGTTCAACTAGTTCAACCAGTTTTACAGTGTTGAGCTTTTTCATAGAACTGGAGCTCATAGAACTGGCTACGGTGTTTGTTTTAAATGCATTGAAGGTGGGGTTGGGGTATGTAATTCAAAGCTTCTTGATATTAGAACTTGAGAGCCAAATAAATAAACCCCTCCATTCAGAGCTCATTCTGAATATATGGCCAAGCATTGCCAAGGCCACGATACTAACAGCTGGGCAAAGTGGCAGAGTCCAGTGACCTGCTGTCTGAGGGTAACGCTAGCTGAGACAAAACAAACATTTTAATAAACGTCTTCAAACGAACAACATGCAAACACACAAACACAGCATCCAAAACACATCACAGTAAAAATGAGCAAGTTTAGATTTTTTTTTTTTAAATTTGAGATGTTGAGATTGTTTTTACAAAACTAAAGTGACCAAAGACAAGGTCATAGGTTTGTTGATAAGGTAACATTACATAGCATAGCATTTTGAATCAACATGTGCTAGCAAACTTGTGTTTTCAGGTCTTTGTGGCTATAAAACTCTTCACAATCATTGTACAGACAAATACCATGATGTAGAGCTAACAACGACACCATGTAATGTAACTAACTAATGTTACAAAGTTGTGGGTTAGTAAACAGTTGCTACAGTTGCTGCTGCGAAGCTAACATGCAGAGATGACAAGATGGTTTACCAGAGCCAGCACACCAGCTCCAGACAGTGATTCTAACAACGCTTCTGCTACTATAGCTAACATCACAACAACAGACAAAACAACAGGCCACTAATGTTACCCACCTGTTAAGAAGAAATAGGGCAACCTTCACACCCGTCTTTATGCACTTCAACTCTCCAACAGTCTCTCTAACGGTCTTTCCACCATGTTGTGTGGCTTGGTTATTTTAACCCAAACCATGATTTTCCCATGCATATAAGTAAAGGTGGGTTCTGAATCAAACCAATAGGAGGATGATACATTGTTTAAATTTTCCAACTGGTCCGAGTTTGTACGGAAGCCCTAAGCGGCCATCGATTCAAATTTTTTTTTTCACTCCGTTTTCCCGTGATAATGGAATAATTATCTTGAGATCTTGAGCTAACGAATGTTTTTTTACTGTGATAACGAGATAATTTTCTCGTGATCTCGAGATAACAAAACACTAAACACAGGAGTAGGCAGAAATGTTTCTTAGTTGTAATTTCAATAGCTTCAGTTGGTAGAGCACACAACCTATTAAAAATCTTTTTCATAATCCTCTTCAACAAAGTTCTCATGAAGAAACTGTTTCAGATGCTCGTGCGGGACTGGGTGCATCCCGGCAATTGGTCCACAACCATCAACCTTTGGACTTCCCGATCATTCCCAACAAGCTGGCTAGCAGCAGCGATAATGTAGGAAGCTGGACAATCAAATCCACCTGGTCCGCGTTATCTCTCTATCTGTTTCTCTGCCGGTGTTAAGAGCTTCCACACAGCTGGCCACATGTTTAAGCTTTTGTGTGTGTGTATAAAGCCTCCTGCGTACTCTTTTGGATCCGCAGGGTCGCTCTGTGAACAGACAGGTAAATAAGAGCTCTGCAAGTAAACACCTTGCTATAAGTAGTAACCATGGCAATGGCTTCTATGCTACTGAATCTCTGCAACTGTATTTTCTTTATAGACTAGGCCTATAGAAAACATTTAATATAGGCTATCTAGTAGAAATTATTGAAAGAAGTGTTTATTTTTGTGCTGTTTGCTTTATGGACACCGCTGACTGAACAATGTAATCAGTAGGTTTTTTTGTAGGCTATAGGGGTAATTTTTGGACTTTTGCACTATAGGCTATAACGTTACACCTACTTACTTTCATTCCGTGAACATGTGTGTGTGTGTGACTTTTTTTGATACTTTTGATATGACTGATGCTTGTCTGTAAATATAAAATTTGAGCAAACTCTGTATGGCTCATTCTATTCCTTTAAGTGTAACGTAGGCATATATGTACTGTATGTGCTAGGATAGCTAGCCTAGGCCATTTCTCAGGAGTTTTTGACTGTGCACCCATAGCCGCATAGTCTTCCTTCAAAAATCAGTGTTAGACTACTTAAATGCTTTGTCCCAAATGTCTGTAGATGAACATATACCTGGTTTGGTACCAGTTACATCAAAAAAATAGGGTTAGTCCACAAAATTAGCGGTCTGGTGGTTTGCGTGAATAAGGCGTCCTGGGATGGAATTAAATCCCAATCTGAATTTTTGTGCCAGTACTCATGGACTGATGATGCATTTTTTTTTTACTTTCACCCAACACTGCCCAACTATTAGCTGGAATCCATTTTATTGTTGAATATTTGGAAGAGAAAATGTTTTTAAACAATGAAAACGATAGTATGCTTTCATTTTATTTGTTAAAGAACCAGAAATGAACAGCTTCAGAATTCACTTGACAGTGGTCTAAGACCACCCCTTCGTCTGTTTGTCTGGCTAAACAGAACCTAATCTTGACATCATAAAATGTATTAATTATCTAACAGTGAATGATTTTGGAAGGCACAGACAAATGATGATGCCTTCTTGACGATTGGGCCGTCAGATCAGAATACTTCTATGTGTTGTTCAATAGGACAGTTACAAACATGCTACTGCATAGATGTTGTCAGTGTTGTATCATCCAGGAAATGACCTCTGAATTTCTATCTTCCAAAACATCTCATGACAAACATGATGTCAGTTCAGCTTTACAGGGTGTTTCACTGATGTGAACACACCCTGTTGTGTTGCATTTTACCTGGTATCACATTCCTGAATTGCCCTCTGTGACTAGAGAGAATCTACCTGAACTTATTATGGATTAACTATCGTTTGCCAAATGCTTTGATGTCAGAGTATCATGGTCTGTCATGGTTTCAGCAAATGAATCATTAACAGCGAAAAAGTGTTTTTCAACTTTCAATGTGATGTTACGTATGTTATACCCGATCATGGTGTTTGATCAGTAACACTTTATGTTTAGCTTTTTAAAAGCTTTTATATTTTTTTGCATGTACCTATGGGTATTCTTACAAGGAGACTTCAGACCATTTGGCATTATGTTTAAAGTCTTAAAAAAATCTGAAACTAAAACTAAAAGAATCCAAGTTGTTTATTGAGTTAATAATAAAACTAAGCTAAATTGAAAGCAAAATCTGTCAAATTGTAACATAGACAACATGTTTGGGAAAGTGGTCGATTTCAGTTTGTTTTGGTTCTATTTTTTCCACAATAAGTCACCTTTTCTTTGAAAAGCGCTGAGTTTCCCCTCAACGCTTTCATAAAAACTGAAATACGAACAGACTGAAAAATCTCTGCAGCGTTGTCTTCCGCCATGTTGTCATTGACCCAGCGTCTGATTCTGGGAGACGCTGTACAGTGTTTGCCATGAGATTATAACAGCGCAGTTAACCATACCCGGTTATCATGGTAATTAAAATGTGTACGGTAGTAGTAACCGTCGGGAATTTTACCATGGTTTGCCATTTCCCTAGTATCTTCAAACAGAAGGTAGAGGAGCGCAAGGTCTCTAATGGAGTTTTTCCATTACCAGTACCAGCTCAACTTGCCTCGACTCAACTCTACTCGACTCGGTTTGGCCGTGCTCCATTTTCCATTGCAGATAGTACCCAGAGATAGCACCCCTCAATGTAGCTGGTCTCATAGCGACGCCACACACAACTGCCGCCACATAATGTTCAATGCGACACACACACCAGCGACCCACACAGCTTTCTCTTTATTTAAATTAAAACGTTTCAACATTAAACAGTATGAAAACCTTCCAGCTGTGTTTTCCTCTGCCGTTGTTGCTGCAGCGGTCTGTGTGATGGCGGGAGCAGAGGGCGGCTGGCCGGCCTCAAATGCTCCTCCCGTGGGTTGCCGCGGGCATCCCCCACAGCCACTTGCAGAGCTCCTCACCTCCGAAAACTTTCAAGCACATTTTTGTTCTGCCATCACTTTTCGTAAAACTGTCAATATTCGAAATCTACACCGCTGATTTCTCACCTCAAAACTGCTCAGAAGTGGATTTAGTGATGAAATTACATACGAAAACTGTAAAATATAACACTTTCTGTTGCTGGCCTCTGTCTGGCGCAATGATGATGCAGTGAATAGTAATGATTCTCTCTGACCAATCAGTAGTCTGCTGTGTTTTCACATCACATTTTAGTATCGCCTCAGCTCGCTTGGAACCTCGACAAAGGTGATACCAAAAAAAGTACGTGGAAGCAGGTACAGGTACAACTTTTCCACAATGGAAAACCAAACAAAGGCGAGCCGAGGCGAGTCGAGCTGGTACTGTGCAGTGGAAAAGGGGCTTAAGATCCACCAGCTCCGTGATGTTGTCATGAAGGAGTGAAAGAGGACTCCAGTTGTAACCTGCTGTGAAGCTCTGGTGAACTCCATGCCCAAGAGGGTGTAGGCAGTGCTGGAAAAATAATGGTGGCCACACAAAATATTCTTTGGACCCAAATTTGACATTTTCATTCAGGGGTTTACTCACTTTTGTTGCCAGCGGTTTAGACATTAAGGACTGTGAGATGTATTATTTTGAGGGGGCGGCAAATTTTTATACAAGCTGTACACTCACTACTTTACTTTGTAGCGAAGTGTCATTTTTTCAGTGTTGTCACATGGAAAGAAATAATCAAGTATTTACATAAATGTGATGGGTGTACTCACTTTTGTGAGATGCTGTTTATGAAAATTCATCTGTGGTTATTTAAACTGAGACAACCTGTTTGTCAGGTACTTACCAGAGATAACTATCCAGGGAACAGACATGTTGACTCAGGGACTTAAAATCCTGTTGGCAGATCTGTTCAGTAAAGCATGACCTGCTTTTTAAGTTCCACCCAACACTGTCAAGGTTTGCTACATTAAAACTTGGGAAGAAATTGATTAAAGTAATTGAAAGGGGGTTTTCTAAAGATGACATAAAAGTTTCACCAAAGTTAAAAACATAGTTAATGTTAATCATTCCCCTTAGAATCTTAGATATTTGGGTGTAAACTGATTTTGAAAGATGGTTTATATTTTAAGCGTTAATGTTCAAAATGACAACATTTTCCATGGTGTCCGTATTATTGCATTGGACTTCTTCAGTTCTGACAGTCAGTCAGAACTGAAGAAGTCCTTTGGATGAGGGACGAAACGTCTTCCAGTATCTTCAACCAAGTCCAGTTGCCCTTGATTTTAACCTTCGTTGGATAACTATGACCTGGATGACTGAGAATCTTCATAGACATCTTATGACAAAATAATATATTTTTTATCTAAAAGATCTGTTTTATGAACTTCTTTGTTAAGTACTGTATTTGTAATTGAGAGCAAAATACACCTTGACTCCCACCTAGTGGCTCATTGCCTCTATTGCTAAACCTTTCCAAAATGTTTATCTAATGACATCACTTTCAGGAAACAACATGACAGCTTCATGGAAACAGTTACTGTTGTCACACAGGCACTTTGTATCTTTATAGCTAGTTTTGATCTATCCTTTCTTATCATACCTTATCATATCCCTTTTTGTAGATTGTAATGGAAAGCTATACATTAAGTTTACCTAATGCAGAACTACATGTTTCAGTTTTATATCATTGAATTGTAGGGTATATTTATATGACATAAAGGATTGTTGACTTGTGCACTGTCCCTCATACTTGTCATATTTATCAAAGCAGATTCTGTATGGAGTAGGACATTATGTGTAAAGCTGAGCTAATGATACTTTAAGTTTCTGGTATTTGACTGTGTCCATGAATATAAGTGTGATCTTCTCTGTCAACAGATTTGTGATGTTATAAACTAATCAATAAGAACAACTGAGGCTCATTAAGTTTATTCTTTTAATAATCAAAGTGAAGACTGAATGAAACATATCATAGAGGAAAATACTGTGCCTTCTAAGCTGATCACTTTATTCTAACAGCAACGTGTCAGGATGTGATAAAAGGGAGATTACTATCTATCCATTCTGAATAAAAATCTAAAATGTTTTTGTTCCTCTCCACCATCTGTTCCCCAGGGCGTGAAAGAGTCTGCTCGGTGTCCCATGGCTCTGCAGGAGCTGGGTATCAGCCTTTCATTGATAGGCGTTGCTGGGACCATCCTGATCTGCGCTCTGCCCATGTGGAAGGTGACAGCATTCATCGGCACCCATCTGGTGGTCATGCAGGTGTTCTGGGAAGGTCTGTGGATGACCTGTGTCAGTGAGTACACAGGTCAGCTGCAGTGTAAGCTTTATGATGCCCTGCTGGACCTGTCACCAGACCTCCAGGCTGCCCGTGGCCTCATCTGCATCAGCCTGGTGCTGGAATGTTTGGGATTCCTCATCTTTCTTCTGGGAGCACGCTGCACCAACTGCCTGAGCCACCCAAAGATCAAGGCTCGGGTGGTGCTGGGCTCTGGCACCACCTTCTGCCTGGCAGCCCTCACCACCATAGTTGCTGTTTCCTGGACGGCCAACTCCATCATCAGGGACTTCCACAACCCTCGTGTCCCTGAGGTGCTGAAAAGGGAGCTCGGAGCAGCCATATATATAGGCTTTGTGACATCTGGGCTGCTGTTCTGTGGGGGAGCCATTCTTTGCACAAGCTGCCCACCACAGAGGGCACAGTTCCCCTCCAGTGGGTACACACGGGCCAGGACAGCCGCACACAGCAGCTACGCCATCAAGAACTATGTGTGAAGTGAGGACAGAGTACTGAACACAGATCAGCCCATGTGTTTCAATACTGAAAACTCATCACAGACAACCACTTTAGCAAAAGTGTATTTGACTGTGATACAACATGGTCAGTCAACTACAGATACATGCAGACCATATATAGATATTAAAAAACATGTTTAAATATGAAGAGACTACAGGCATGCTTTGCAATGCATTCTAATGTGTTGTATTTTTCTACGGGGTGAGACACATGGATTTGGCCATTGTAAATATAGTTACTTTACGTCTGTCCAGAATGGCGTCAATACCAGCCATTTACAGATATTTGTCAGTGTTTGTCATGAAATGTGCAGGTGAATTATTAGATCTCCATTTAGGGGAAATCTATTTCACTGTTTGTCTGATTCAGCTATAATTAACTTGTTTTTTTTATCTTTTGAAATAGCTAATAGGTCTTCTGAAGGACTTTGTTGCCAACTGCTTTCATAAAGAAAGTCAAAGAATTGATTTGTACCCCTGCTCTACCTGAATGTGTATGCATTTATAATCAGTAGAAAATTACATTAATCATGTTTTAGTCACCAGATTTAGTGAAAATTATATACAGAGAACATTTTCTATACTAAAAGTTTATGTGCTTGTGATCTGCATCTTGAAATTCAAAATAAACACTGCAAACATGTGCCAGTTGAATCAGTCTTTTGCAGTGAGAAAAGTATTACAATCAAATAAGGTTCCAGTTGGTGTCATTGTTTTTCTCCACCCACTCTACCAAGGGAGACAGCTGCACTGCTACTGTGAGAACACAAATCCCAATATCAGTAAGAACTTGTGGCTTCTCTTGAATGCGGCATTAGAAACATGACAGAGTGGCTGAAAAACTGGAGCACAGTGGAACCTTTGTTTTTCACTCTACGCATAAACTGGGAGAAAGGGATTGTTTTGAAACCATGGCAGAGAAAACAGAGGGATTTCCCTCCTCCACCCAGCTGCAGTCACGCCGTGCTTTCTTCTTTTCATAAATGCAGAGGAACCGGTTTCCCCCTTCCTGAACAGACATTCAAAACAGACAGCACACAAACACACCCCACACCTCACACACACACATTTCCATGTTGTCTCTTCCTCACATGCACAAACTCGTTAAAAAAAACACCCCACCCTGTGGGACTCTGCTGCCAGCTGTTTCTGGTTAGGCAGTTGGGCCTGCAGTGAAGAGGCGGAGCAGGCAGGCAAAAGTCATGGAGCGGCAGCTGGAGCTCGCTGCCCTGGGTCTGGCCCTCACAGGGTGGCTTTGTGCCATTCTGACACGCTGCCTGGCCCTGTGGAAGGTGAGCGGCACCCTGGACAACACCACGGCAACTCTGCCTGCCTACTGGGATGGGGTGTGGCTGGAATGGGATCACTGGGACCTGGCCCACGACGGCAGCCTGCACTGCTCTTTCTACCAATCGCTCATGTCCCTTTCTGGAAGCTTTCGGACGTGGAGAGCCCTCATCATGGCAGCCATCGGAGCCGGGGCTTTTGCTGCGGTGATTGGAGCAGCGGGGGCGGTGTGGTTCCCCATGCGTGGCCAGATCAAAGTGTTTTCTGGTGTCCTCTTTGTTTTGTCTGGCATACTGTTGCTTGTTCCCACAGCCTGGACGTGCCATCACACCAGCCAGCCACTGGAGGGTGTTGTGTTGCTGAGAAGAGACTGGGGACCTGCACTGTACCTTGGATGGATCTCCTTTGCTTTGATGCTGGTGGGAGGGGTGTTTCTCACCACCAGATGCCCCACTAGTGAGAGACAGGTACAGCAGCCTGAAGATAGCAGGAATCCAAATGTAGAAGACGAGGCTAGTCACCCGCTGAGCAGGATCAACAGGACTACGTTCACGCAAAGCCAGTATGAACGCAGATCACAGCCTATCTGAGGGGACTGTGATGTAATATTTGATGACAGAGTGTGAGTGGTTGAACTGGAAAATCATTAATACGTGAAATGACTGTGGATGGATTTAACAGCAGAGGAAAACTTCTGGCTGCACATGTTGAGTAATGATGCACTGGATTAACAATGTGTGAACTTAACATTAGAAAGTAAAAGCACGTGTCATGTAGCTAGTTTTTAGATTTACATCTTGTTTTGCTGTTTCTTCATGTTTATTGAAGCTAACACACTGTATATACTGTATGTTATTGTTTTACATTCAATCCTAACTTCCTCCAATTCAACATCACTGTAAAGTTACACGTGTCTGTTTGCTTTACTAGGTGAAATTATTGATACTAAACTGACATTAAGACATTACAGCCCTCTGACACCTTTAATACACTGTAATGGCTCAAATGTGAATGAGTTAATATTGATCTTAAAACTGAATACTGTATTGCACAAACACATTGCCCTACACTAGAGTAATGCAATTGTATATCTGTTTTGTTAAGAGTGGCAAAAATGTTTACATCTGAGATTAATTCTGCACAAATAAAGCATTGCAAATGATTCAGAAATATTTGTTTACAGGTTACATAAGCCATGCATTAAAGTGATATTAACTCATTATTCCACAGAGCATTTGGGGAGGCAGTAAGGTGAGCAGTCCTTTTGACATCTATACTGTAGCCATCTATTTTTGATTACTTTTCACAGTAGGCTGTGAAATGTTCGGATGTGAAACTTGACTTTTCAGACTTCTATTTGCAGATGTACGCCAAAGTCTAGCAGGTATATCATGGGACAATCAGTATGATACTTTTCAGAATAAAGAACAGTTAACTGAGAGTGCACTTTGTTTACAGCGGAGGTCAAACCTAAAACCTGACAGGAAAACATCTGTTTGAATGACTAAAAACATGATTTCTGTTTTCTTTTACCTCAGAGGAACTAAATTTCATACATTTCTGATTTACAGACACCCTGAACTCCTGCTCAAATGTGAGAAAGTTAGTGAAAACCCTGAAATAAAAGAGTATGAAAACATGATTTGATGTAGTGCTTGAGTCTCTTAACTGTATTTTTCTTTTGCTCAACAAAACAATGTAAGACTTCTAAGCGAACACTCAACATTACATTTGTAAAAAAAGTTACGTGCACAGCAATATTTACAAACACTGTATTGTAGCCTTTTCTGAACACTGATAATAAAAATCATCGTACAATATTCAAGATAATATCTATATGATTCTATATTGTGCTAAGTACAACACTTGTTCATAAGGGGTGCAACTAACTGAGTTGGAAAAGCTTCAAATGTCACTGGTTTGGATGTTACACTTTTCTGTTCTTAAAGCTGCCACATATTTGGGCTTGAAAACTGTTATTTAATTTGTTTTCAAATCAACTATGTGTATATTAGGAAAATACTGTGGATAAACCAAAAAGTAAACATTTTTGTTATTTATTTGCTACAGAGCAAACGCATTCATTATGACAAAATATATATCATTGGGTTAAAGAAATCATCCATAAAATTGGTATACTGAGCTACATGGCACACAAAGTCTGATGTAAGGGCAGAAACAGCCTTGTTGAGAAGTTCTGCTAAAGGTCACCAGGTACTGATATAAGAAAAGAAACTGAATAAATATGTGAAAGCAGGCCAGAGCTATTTACTGACCTGCAAGTTCAGGTATACATGCTCACACATATATCCAAAATACATTCCACCCAGTACGCAAATCTGGCAAATAATAATAAGTCAGATAAATCATTTCATCATAAGAGAGGCTGGGAAACAGGCTGAATCATAAATATAGTCTCTTAAATGAGTTTGCAGTTTGTGTGCTGCATGTTAGTGTGGATAAGGTGCAGACTCCTGACTTGTTGGGTTACTACAGTTTCTCATCTCCCTCCTCCACATCCTTCAGACTGAGAACCTCCAGAGAACCTCGGCCTTTAGTCTCACAACGGATCAGCTCGTCGATCTCCCTGAAGCAGCCGGGATCCACCAGACACACCTGAGGATGAAGAGAATGAACAAGTATAATGTGAGCAGTAAAGATACATAAAGGCATTAGTTAACGCAAAGAGAATTGACATTTGAGTGTTATTAAGTGTGCACCAGATAAAACTCATTCAGCTGATATCTGATTGTAATACTAGATTTACTTGACATTTATTATTCAGTGACTGCAGAGAATACTTAATCACTCCCACAGACACGCCGTGAGTTTAAAACCTCAACTCTCCTCACCATTTCCAGCTCCTCATCAAAGTCTTCACTCTCCACAACCTGCAGGAGCGGTTTCAGCTTCTCCTTCAGCCTCTTGGCCTCCTTGGCTGGCAGCACCAAACGCAGCCTCATGTGGGCCCTCTGGATCTCCATGGTCTCCTTCAGCTGCCGGATCACTTCCAGAGCCTGGGAACAACAGGGCAGATGAAATCAGGAAGTCAACATTTAGCCGTCCTTATTGTTGTCTGCTGAACTAAATACTCAAATTATACCATCTGATTTTATTTTTCTGTTTAAAACACCAATAAGAAGTATTCTGTAACATTTAACTAATTTAGATTTTTCATTACATTTGGGAAGAGATGTGAATTTTTTTTTTTTTAAGTGGATATATTTTTGTGCTTTGAGCATCACAAATCAAATGCCAGTGGGATCCAAATAAAGTAGTAAGTCAGATCAGTGTGTGATAATTTGTTTTTGATTTTTCATAGATTTATCCTGCTATCTACCAGCACCTCATTATGTTGCTGTGCTCGGGAAATTTTTGGTTTTGTTGTCAGTGGGATCCACTTAGGTTCTTCAAAGAAAGACAAAAGATACATTACATTGTATTTACAGGGTCTCCCACAGAATGACGCAGATGTGCCACATGTGGAGGAGGCTTGATAATGACGAAACCAATCACAACGGTCGAAACCAAGGTGTTCACTGTCAGTTTACCTGGTCCGTGCTTGTAAAATATCCACCGTGTCTGCATCTTGTGATGTGAGTAATACTAATAAATGTTTCTCTGCAAAATGCTGAAATGGGTCACCAGATTTACCTGGGCGGCCGTTCATATATCTGGGCATGTGTTGGAAACACTTATTTATGTATTTATGGACACTGGCTCCAGCTGTCTGTCAGTGTGTATTAACTCTTTGCAGTCTCCAACAGATAACGTTATCACCAAGCATTCCTTGATTAATTATTCCAGTCTACACACATAAAGTGTGTCTCCTCACCTGCTGTTTAGGGCTCTTGTTGGTTTTCACAGAGTAGTGGATGTCCTTCATCGCCCCCTCAATTAGACTGACTGTGTATGGCCTCTTGGTCTCAGGGTTGACACACTTCTCTGCCACAATAGTCGCAATATCCTTGAACATCATCTCCAGCTGAGAGTGCCTTTCCCTGTCTGACACTTGGAGATCTCCTTTGGTCAGGATCTGTCCAAAAGAAAAAAATAATAAAAGGGTGAGGAAGTGAAGGTGAAGACACAGTGTGAACAAGAGGTAGGCAGGAAAATATTTCTCACCAATTTACAAATTTCAGTCAGATCATCTGTTCCAAAAGCTTTAGTCAAGTCATCTCTCTTAGCAACTTGACCTTTGGACACATTAACGAAAACCGATCTTGTCTGCAAAACCTCATCCAGGTCTTTCTCTCTGGAATTAAACACAATGTTTGGACACGCAGAGAGGAATTAAACAGACAGACTGGTGGATTAAATTTAAACTGCAAATGTCCGTTGACTTTAACATATAACGAACAAGATGTTTTAGTAACGTCAGCTAGTTATAAAAATAACTTAAACATTGTCGAAGTTTAATATTACTCACGCTCCTGATCGCCAGTTCACAACTTTATTCTTGTAGCAGGCGATTTCAAACCGCTTTCCTCCCTTTTTCATCCTCACCACAGCCACATTTGTCAGCCGTATTTGATTTGTTGGCGTAAATATAGACATTTTTATATCTGTTACGCCGGAATGCTCTTTCCAAGCTGCTGTTGACAAATAAAACAATGTTGTCTGATAACAACGTCGTTGATGCGCTCTGAGTGCGTTTCTCTGGAGTGTCCGTTGTGAAACATTGACGTTCAACAACAGTTCCGTTTTGGTTCTTCAGTAGATTTCAATCATTTAGTGACTTTTGATAATTAAGCAATAAACAAAAATTCAAATAGTGTACAAATGATTTTAGTTTCGTGAAAAATAATATTTAAATAATATTTAAAGATACAGAACAAACTGTTAACATGAACGTGTTACGTGATTTGTACAGTGCACGCCACTGGTCACAGAGCGTAATTACAACTTTTTGAGGTTTTATTTTAAAAGTGTTCACTTGAAAAGAAGTCATAAATTAAAAAAAGACAAATTCTTTTTTTTTTTAAATAGGTGTACCAAGTGAACTGTCAAGTCTACATATAAATGGGTGGACAAGTTAACAAAAGGGATTAGACAAATGTTCAAAGGTAGAGAGATAAGCGAATAGGGCTCCTCTCCATCCTCCACTGCATCCTGGCCCTTCTTTGGCGGATTCGCCTCCTCAGCTGTGCAGCCTCCTCTTCAGCCTCAATATAAAGGCAGTAGCAATCAGTATGCGATCCCCTCTCATCTGGTCCATTTTTAATCCTATCTATCTTAATTTTCTTACTTCTGACTCCTTTCCTTTGTCAGGAAAAACATTTTTAATCAATGATTTTATAATCACTCACAATCTTAATTGCATGTTTTTAACTAAAATTTGGTTGGACCAAGATAACAGTGCAGCTGTCCTTATCAAGTCTACCCCTCCCAACTTCAGTTTCATGAGTGAAGAGGGAGACTGCATAAGAGAGGAGGTGGAGTTGCCATTTTGTTTAATGACTCCTTCCAAAGCAAAAAGATGTATTATGGGAATTTTGCTTCTTTTGAATATGTGGCTCTTCAGTTGAATTCCTCTTCTCGAGCTAGATTTCTAAATATCTACAGGCCCCCTAAATACTGTGCAAACTTTTTTGATGACTTTGGTGAACTGCTGTCTATAATCTGTATTGACTTTGACTGTGTGGTTATTGTTGATGATTTTAACATCCATGTTAAACATCCCAGGACAGAGGGACTAAAGAACTGTGTTGTTTTCTTGATTATTATGGAATGACCCAACATGTGACGGGTTGTGGTGAAAGATGTTGCTCTCTCTGATCATTCCTGTGTTTTCTTTAAGAGTGCAATCTGTGTGCACACAAATGTACAAAACGGCACATCACTGAAAACACTAGTGAATAATTTATTGAGGCTTTTTTTACTCGACACACTCTCACGGGTCTCAGTCAATGAGCTTGTAGATAATTTCAGTTCTAAAGTTACAAATGTTATTGATGCCGTTGCACCAGCCAAGGTGAAGGTGGTCTCAGGTAAGAGAAGATCTCCATGGAGAAATGCCACACTGGTTGGAACTCAAAAAAGAGAGTGTCGAAAAGCTGAACGCAGGTGGCAGAAAAAAATCTCCAGGTTCATTATGACATCTATAAAGAGAGACTTCGCATTTATAATTTAGAACTGAGAAATACAAGGCGGCCCTTCTTCTCTGACATCATCACCAAAAACACTAATAATGCACATGCCCTGTTTGCTACTGTCGACAGGCTAACCAACCCTCCTGTGTCTGTAGCCTCTGACCTTCTATCCAATGAATTTGCCTCCTTCTTCACAGACAAAATTCTAACAATTAGACAAGCAGTCAGTGCCTCCACATCAGGTACAGGATATGTCTTGTCCCTGTGTCCACTTAAAAACAATTCATATAGCATGAGATAATTTCATTCTATTAACCATAAAAACCTGGAGGACATAATACAACATCTGAAATCCTCCTCATGCTGCCTTGATATTCTGCCAACAGGTTTTTAACTCTTTTTTTTTTCACTCTTAAAAACAGGTCACTAATGAGCAATTATAGGCCCATTTCAAATCTCCCATTTTTAAGTAAAATCATTGAAAAGGCTGTTTTTCAACAGCTTAGTGCTTTCTTGGCACTAAATAACTGTTTTGATTTTTTCCAGTCAGGTTTTCGACCACACCACAGCACTGCGACGGCTCTTGTTAAAGTCTTCAATCCATTTAAACACTGACAGTGTCAGAATTTAAGTCTTAGTACTATTGGATCTCACTGCTGCAATCGACACGGTCGACCACAACATATTACTAGACAGACTTGAAAACTGAGTTGGACTTTCTAGCACAGTACTAAATTGGTTTGAATCCTACTTAAAGGACAGGGACTACTTTGTGTCTATAGGTAATTACACATCTGAGCTGACAAAAATGACATGTGGAGTTCCCCAAGGCTCCATTCTGGGCCCTCTTTTGTTTAGCAATTACATGCTTCTACTAGCTCAGATTATGAAAAACAACAAAATATGTTACCCTAATTATGCAGATGACACACAGATTTACATAACCATTTCACCAGGGGACTATGATCCCATACAGGCGCTGAGTAACTGTATTGAGCAAGTCAACGGCTGGATGTGCCAGAATTTTCTTCAATTAAACAAAGATAAAACTGAAGTTATTGTTTTTGGAGCCAGGGAGGAACGATTGAAAGTCAGTGTTCGACTTCAATCTGTAATGTTAAGAACCACAAATCAAGCCAGAAATCTTGGTGTAGTCATGGACTCAGACCTGAATTTGAGGAGCCATATTAAGACAATTACAAAATCAGCCTACTATCATCTGAAGAATATATCAAGGATTAAAGGACTTATGTCTCAGCAAGACCTGGAAAAACTTATCCATGCGACTTCAGTCGACTCGACTACTGTAACAGTGTCCTTACAGGGCTCCCTAAGAAATCCATCAGACAGCTGCAGCTGATTCAGAACGCTGCTGCTCGAGTCCTCACTAAGACCAAAAAAGTGGATCACATCACTCCAGTTCTGAGGTCTTTACATTGGCTTCCTATGTCAAAGAATTGATTTCAAAATCCTGCAGTTAGTTTATAAAGGACTAAATGGTTTAGGGCCAAAATACATTTCTGATCTTCTGCTTTGTTACGAACCATCCAGACCTCTCAGGTTGTCTGGGGCAGGTCTGCTTTCTGTCCCCAGAGTCAAATCTAAACAAGGAGAAGCAGTGTTCAGTTATTATGCTCTGTATATCTGGAACAAACTCCCAGACAACTGCAGGTCTGCTGAAACAGTCAGTTCTTTTAAATTAAGACTGAAGACATTTCTTTTTACCACTGCCTTTAACTAGTAGATTGATAACTTACACTGCACTGTAACTTTTACTGTCCTGTTTTCTTTTTCTTTGTTTTTAGCTTTTTTACCATTGCTTTTAATTAAATATTTACACAGTGAGAAATGTATAGGTAATTGAGTGAAAAGATAATGAGAGTGAGATTGAACAGAGTGAAGGAAGTGGTCTGAAATCTCGCGCCTGAGTGATTTGCAGGAACCTCTGTCCACCTGTAAACGCGCAAGTGGGTCCAGAGTATAACTGGATCAAAATGGCCTGTGGACAGACATGTCCTGGTTTCTCTGTAGTGTCTGAGGGTTTTTGGAGTTTCAGTGGACCCAAAGATTGCTATGGACCCGAGTACAGACTAGCTAGAGAGAGTAGATTAAGTGTAATTCTCTGTTTATTCTCTTTTCAAAATAATTGTAACTCAATTATTTGCTCAACCCCTCAACCTGTTTTTATTTTCCATTTAACTTTTTTAACCCTGATTGTACACTGCACTGTAACTTTTATTATAGTTTAATGTGTATGTTTTCAATTTCCCGATGTTGCTTTTAAACTTTTTTATATTTCCTTGTTGCTTTTATGTTTTATGTAAAACACTTTGAATTACCTTGTTGTTGAAATGTGCTATACAAATAAACTTGCCTTACCCTTATATACATGCTGCAGATCTTGGAACACTTGGAAATATATAAATATGCATATTCTAAAAATAAAAACGAATAGAAAGGGTTGTTTTTATACCATATTTCAAGTACAGAAGTCCGAACTTGGCGTATCATTTTTATGTTAGTTTCTGATTGCTTCATTTTAGTATTTTGAAAGTATACACCGGAAGTGTTAGCATGCTATCACATCTTTTTTGACGCTACTTCGGCTAATTCAACGTTGCATGATTGCTCTATTATCACTTGAGGGCAGTAAACACTCATAAGTCTGAATACAACGGCCATTAGTTATAGTTATCACATTAAATATCCCGGTGAACACTTTCAACACAACCAGAGCTCTTTAAAGGTCTCTGAACACAACTTGTAAAACTTGTGAATGTCAGGCAGTACTTCCGGTGAAGAAATTCAAAGTAATACTAAAAATTAGGCAGAGGTGTAAATACGTAACGACGAATATTTAAGTTAGCAGAAGAAACAAGGCCTCGTCCACATTATTTCGGAATCGATATATTTTTGCCACGATACTTCTGCTTTGAAAGTCGCGTACTGCTTAGTTTGAGCGCAACCAGAGCCGTTAACGGACTACACTTCCCAGCATGCGTGTTGGTCAAACAACATGGTTGCGCACAACATCAGCTGCAGGGGACTGTGTGCTTTGATATATAATTTGCAGCGATGTTGAGTTTGTTTGTAATTATATTGCTTTTCGTAAGTCGCGTGTCTACATCGGATGCTAAAGGTGAGTTTATTTATTTGGAAAGTAACTACCTTATGTTTTGGCAGACGTTAGTGTCATTGTTAGCTAGCATGTATTGCTAGCCTGTACTCGCCCTTTATTTCCTGCAGGTGAACTACGGTTCGGCTTTAATCCTGTTGGCTTGTTGCTGCTGCGTTAACATTTGTACACTTGTCTGAAAAACAGAGGACTCAATTTGATGGATTTTCTCCCTCCAGTCTCACAGAATGCTCCCAGTCCCAGTGAGAGCTATTTCATATCGATATGGCACAACAGGCTGTACTTGTATTCAGCTGCTGCACTTGTCTTTGGGGTCTGGTTCTCACTGAAGATGGCACTGAAGAAGAAGGTGAATTGTTATTTGTCGATATCTTCACTTATGTGTGGGCCTGTGTTGATTTTTTTGTAAAGCAGTTTATGTTTCCAAACTTTTAAAGTCTTTGTCCTTGTGTGACCTGTCATTTATTTGGCTGTGCATTAATTGTTTCCCTCCGTATGCTTTTTAGAAAAGTTTCCCCAAAGACGTCGGCTCAATGGTCTACAAAGCTGTGAATGGCAATGACAGAGACACTGTGGTTCACGTGTCAGGAGTTAAAATCTTCTATGGCTCACAAACTGGAACTGCAAAGGTACAGATATTATTTAGTTAAAACTTAAACGTCTGTGATGTTAACATATAGACAAGACGATGCCATAATGAAATGTAAAATCCAAGGATACAGACCAACAGTCATCACCATCATTTGTTCAGGTATTTGCAAAAGAGCTGTCAGAGGAGGTGAAAACTTTGGGTATACCAGCAGAGGTGATTGACATGAAAGACTACGATCCAGATGATCGCCTTGCTGATGAGGTAAGCCAGGTCCAAAAAGAAGATGCTTTTCCTTGTAATCAGATCGCAGAGTGTAGAGACATATGGCCCTCAACTTGAGGAGGTTAGTTTAAGAAATCGTGTCCTTGAATGAGAAGCTAAACCTCTGCCTACTTCAGAGCTGCCTCTCAGTACTTAACTCTTAACTTTGACGTTGTATAATGTAACTGGCTAATTATTGCTTTTTTAAATAGTTGCAGCTCTTTTAAAGTTTTTTTTCTACATCTCTGAAAGTACAGGCAATGCTTAATTAGAACAGAATGAATCAAAGTAAAAAATCGTAACTGTATTTGATTTATTTTAACAGCCTCAAGTCCTGTAATGTTCCGGCTCAGTCTGTCCTTCATTTTTCGCTGATTTGATTTTTCAAATGGCAGGCACAACAACAAATGTGTTACACAAATCCTGCTCAGCTGATGAAAGAAGGATTATTTTCATCAGTGTTCCCTTTTTATTTTGTGGGCACAAGCAGCATGTGGTCCAATGAGAGATGAATAGAGAATCGGTTGGCTGGTACGCAGCAGGGGAGAAAATCACTATTCAGAAGGGCAGTGATACAGTTTTCATTGATGGAGAATCTCCACAAGGGAAATGACTGCAGGTCTCTAGTTTAGATGCAGCTGATCCTCCGTGTACTGACTCACTAGCCAGCCATCAGTCAAGAAGACCCTATTTGGCTAGCAGTTTAGACGCTGTTAGACATGAACCCTGAAATTTTCTGTGCATTAACAGGGCCAACGGGACAATGTGTTCTTATTTGACATTCAATCTAGTGGGTATCTGCTGCCCTGTGTATGAAATTTTAGTCCTGGAGGTGAGTTGGCAGAATCAATTGCGTGTAATCATTTATAAGATAGCTTCTTTAAGTGATAATTACTGAAAATATGCATATTGGCAAGTCGTCTTTCCTGGAGCTACTGTTTTATATCTCCGTTCAGTGTACCAACAAGTCAGTCTGCGTGTTCCTTGTGGCCACCTACACTGATGGAGAGCCCACAGCGAACGCTGAGTGGTTCTGCAAGTGGTTGGAGGAGGCGTCCACTGACTTCAGATACGGGAAGACCTACCTCAAAGGCCTCAGATATGCAGTGTTTGGTCTTGGCAACTCTGTCTATGTTGGCCATTATAATACGGTAAGAAATGGTTTCCATATTAGAGTAATAACAATACCACTTGATAATATGCTTCAGTTATTTAAAGAATATCTTAAGATACAAGGTTGGCTGTAGCTCAGCAGTAGGGAGCATATTCTAGGTCCAAACTTGACTTAACATGCAGCTCACCAAAATGTCGTCTGGTCAGTTAGTTGTTATTTAACCCACTCTTCTTTTTGCCTCACCAGGTGGGTAAAAATATAGACAAGTGGCTTTGGATGCTGAGTGGCATGCGGATCATGACCAGGGGAGAGGGCGACTGTAATGTGGTAAAGAGCAGTAACGGCAGCATCCAGGCAGACTTCCTGGCCTGGAAGGTAAAGTTCCTGAAGCGCATACAGGCCCTGGCCAAGGGTGAGAAGAAGAACTGCAGTGGGAACTGTAAGAGCGGAGGTTCCTGTAAGAACAAGAGGAAAGACGGACAGGAGGAGGAGGAGGCAGCTCTGCAGAATAACCACACAGAGGTAAAGGCAGGAAAACAGAGCATATATCACTATTGTGTTTTTTTATGGCACTGTGAACATTCTTCCTTTTTAGGCAGTGGTTAAAAATTTGAACAACTACTTCAGCGTGTTGGCGTTCTGCTGAAGTGTCCTTGATCAAAAGCCAAATGTCTACCAGTCACTGTTACAGAATATGATGATAATGATGATTTCTTCTTAATGTTGGACCACTGATTGGGCCACTTGCCTATCACAGATCATATCTCAGTTGGTGAAGTAGGCTTTGCTGATCTAGCTTTAATTAAATGTAAACACAATGTGTTTTGACACAGTGATCTGATCAACTTGACATGGACACAGTGATAAAAGATCAGCATTTGACACCTGAGTCCATAACTGCTACATTACAGGTCTGATGTATTACTTGCATGTTTTGTCACTGACCCAGGAGCTGAGTGCTTCATTCAAGAGCAACGTGATGTTGTATACTGGCGGTCTACTTTGTGTTCTGTTTCCATGTTGTTTCCTCTTTTAGTCTCCCGATCGTACATGTAGATGAAAACAATGTAAAATTGAGGATGTCAGTGAGTTGGAAGTCCATGTTTTTTCTTGGACAACGAAGCGGGGTATATTTCAATTTGTATTGCTTTTTTTCACCATTTTAATTCTGCTTCATTCTCCACCTTATTTTAGCGTTTTGTTTTTGTGTTTACTCACTACCTGAATCTGCTCACCTAGCTTTTCCCCCCACACACACACACCACTACACCTCAGGTCTCTTACTTTAAATACGCAGGCTTGCACCGCCTCTTTCTGGTTCTCTTACCTTGCATGTGTCTGCTCTGCTGACTTTCTCCGTCAGCAGTATGTTTTTCTAAAGTCGCAAAAAGACAACAAAATCGTCTTTGGATTTTTTGACTCGTGTATCAATTTCACAGCAGCAGGTGCGCTTTCACATCACCTAAATAGAGATGGGTGAAAAAGAAAGAAAAACAAACATGAAGTGTCTTAGTAAGGAGTTGGGCCCCCACAAGTCTCCAGAAGTTCAGTGCTCTTTGCCAGGTCTGTGGAACTATTTGAGGGATGGGCACCATTCCTCCACAAGATATTACAGAAGATAGAAAGAAATACAAACATAGCCAGATGTAACAAAAGGACATATAGCATCACTTAAAAGATTTGAAGATGAAAGTTTACCTCGTCTGGTTTTATGGAGACGGTGGTGCAGAGTGTTGTCTTATACATTGGTCCAAAATCTAGTTGTGAAACTGGGTTGAAATCTGGTGACTGTAAAGGTCTAAGCATTTTATTCACATCATTTTCATTCATCCATTTCATGAACCCTGGTGCACAGAAGCAGCTGCATTTCAACAAATTTATTCCTTAGGGTGATGAAGGCAAAATGAGGGGGTGGCGAATGAGAAAGCTGTGAAAAACTAGGAGTGCTTCACATCAAAATTAAATAAGAAAATACTTTAAATTATTTGCGTGTAGCTGCACAATCTGTGAGAGCAGGAGGACAAAACCAGAGTAGAAAACAGAACCAGAAAAGTGTAAAAAATTCAGTTGACTGAAACAAGAAGAGCACTACCCTTTCATGCGTATTTAGAGATAAAAATATTTCTGTGCAAGAGAAGCAATTATGTAAGGGTGCAAAAATAGCCAATTAGCCAAAAAACGAGCAGTAAGGCAAAGTCAGGAAATTGAGCTCTTTCTACTTTTCATGAATCTCTGTACAATTAAACATAACTCATCACATCACAGACATAGACAGTTGTCATGGTAGCAGACACCTCAGAGCCAACTCTAGCTTAGATTTCTTTCCCTCTGTCTGCATCACTCTGTGCACTCAGCAGAGGTGACATTCAACCGGAACCAAGAGTAGCTGAGAGCTGTGGTGAGGGGATCATTGTGATTTATCTACCGTCTTTACTGCTCATGCACTTTATCCTGCTGCTGCACATGTGGGCAGATGCTTCGATACTGGGCAGGCATTGTGAGAAATCCTCTGAAACGCCATAAACATGCATATGGTTTTTATGTAGTCAGGCAGCCCAAGAGGAGATAACGTTGAACAATAAATGCGTTCCATATGGGCGCTCTCGCTTAATCGTGGGAAAGTTTTTAAGTGGTTATGGGAAGGAACGTATGTGAATCTACACTGGAGGATCGTTTACGTTTTCCACTCTTAACATCTGTCTCACCACTTCCTTGACCTATTTTTATTTTAATTTTTTTAACAAGGTTTCAGGGTTTCTTCTTTCTCGCTTCAGGAGGATCTGATTGAGTCCAGCAGTGACGAGGAGGAGTCTACTCTGCAAGATGAGAAAAAATCTGCTTCAGTGGTTGATATGGAGGATCTGGGCAACCTCATGAACAGTGCCAAGAAAGCAAAGGTCAGAATCTGTCTACCAGCAGTGAAACCACTTTTAGTAATGTATGCATGTCTTTTTCAGCACATTACATAAGTAGCCATATTCCTTTACAGCTCAATTAGCTGATGATCTTGTCAGAAACAACTTAAAATGACATCAGTTACTTCATTCCACCGTTACCTAGCTTCAGAAAACCACTACCATTCATGCAGCTACACAGAAAGAAAATAATAAAAACGAGCGTTCGGAAATGTATAATGTACTTAGATATAGTACTTAGCTTCCTGCTTCACAGTCTTACAGTTAGGTGGTTGTTGTTATTGAGTCATCATTCAGCAGTTTTATTTTCAGTGTTTCCGCATTAAGGTCTAGAAGCAGGCACCATTGTGGCATTAAGCTTCCACCACCTGAGTCCAATCTAAGTGTGTTGAGTAAGGAGAAATAGTGGTGTCATTGATGGAAAAGTGGCAGATGGGTTGATAGACACCAGACACCGGCAGGCGAGAAGCTGAGGCTTGCGTAAGAGCGAGGACGCCCACTTCACATACTTGTGAGGAACAAGTGACTCAAGAATAGCAGAAAAAATGAAAAGGAAGAGGCATTGTCACTCTTCTTATAGGCTGTAGTGTAAGGTCTGTGGCAAAGAAGTGATCTGTGACAGTGTGGAGAAGTCCTCTTTTATTCTTAAAATCAGAGCGAAAGCTTCTGAGTTTAGCCTCTTAGTAGCTTCATATTGTATACAAATATCAAACATACCAATCAGAGGAAACACCACTGGTGACCCTAACCCAGCCTTCCAGAGAGAGAGCCTGTGATATTAGTTGATGCCTGGTTAATCTCGAAACCTATCGGCTATTGTCTGATGATTTCCTGCTCTTTACAATACAACATGTATGTACAATAGTATTTGTAGCAAAACACAATGAGATTGATTAAGCCCTGCCAATCCAGATCTTCCCCCTGATACATATAATTACCATTACTTTACACCACTTGCCACTTTTAAATGATCTCTGTCTGCATTATGTCAACTGCCAAACTCCTGCCTCAACTGAAAATGGTTTTATTGTAGCTTGTAAATGAAATTATATGTACATTAACTTCTTTCTAGGCAGACCTCAAATAAAACCTTTGAGTATTTGCCTCCTTGGCGTCTTTGTCAGCTCTAAAAAAACAAGTGAGTGAACATGTTCTGTCCTGTTTCAGACAGGGGGGAAATTGTGTTGGTGTGTTTTTCAGTAGGTCAAGAGAATTCCTAAGACAATATTGTCGTTGACTAGAGCCTTTCTGGTTCCTGAAATTTGTTCTCATTAAAGCACAATGCTTTATGACAGAGTTAATGTTGTGCTACCAGTGCTGGTTGCGGTAGACCTACGGAACAACAGATTCTTCCAGGCTTGTCCCTTCACTTGTGACATAAATATTCCAGTATATTGTGTGTCAGCTCTGTGGGGTTTGGACAGGCCTCTTTGTAAGCCCTACATGAATGTGTTTATACATCACGCCTGGGAAAGTTAGAGACATCAGAAGATGACTTGAGGGCCCCGGGAAGCTCAGTGCTTTTCAGTTATGTCTGCCACAGTGGAAGGAGCCAGACTTCTTTTAAAGAAACTTCTAAAAAATATTCAATTCATTTTAATGTAGTGTTTATGAGGACGCCGTGGGTGCCGTACTATCTTTTGTGATGTGTCAAACAAAAAAATGGACTTCCATTTCACTTCCTGCAAATGTATCCTAATAGTATTTAGTCTAAGTATAATTATTTGCTGTGATGACTCGTATCGTCCCTCTTGGATGTCAGGATGACAATTTTGCTGTGTGTGTGCGATAACAAATTAGTGTTGTTTTTGCATAATTTGATCACACAGAGCGGGCAGTGCAAGATGTAATTACTTTGTACACGAAACATTTGCTAGTGCCAAGAGACAACAAGTATTTAGCCAAGCTGCAAATTAAGTGTGAACAAGGAAATCCCCTGACTTGAATATGTGAGCTAATTTACAGTGTAGAGCCAGCTGATGGTTTTAATTACTCCCCATTAATGAGCTTATTTTAGACTTTAGTAAAATGTACTCTGTGTTACAGTATTTAAAAGGAGTTAAGAGATCGACCTCTCCCCATAACTGCAGGTGGAAGCTCACCTTGGCTGTGTTTGACCACTAGGTGATAGCAGAGACTCTCCGTTGCAGCTAACTCACATCTCTGAGTGAGCCACTGGTCTGGCATTTAACACCAAGCTGTCGTTTCACTTCCAAAGCTAGTGGCGTTCATTCTCTGCACATCAGACAGACATTTAACAGATTTTATTACATTCTTAGTCTTTAAGGAACCAAACTGAAGCTAAATCCTTCCACCTGAGTCTGTATTTAAGTGCTTTGAATCAGGGTTGGATTTACCTACACCAGTCAAACAAATTCAGAGAAACTAGTTTATGGTTAGTTGGTTATGGCACTAAGGAGTAGTTTAGCTGCTTTTACTACATTGTAGGTTAGATTAGCAATGTTTTAACACATTTGGTTACTCTACATAATTTAACATTTATTACACTATTATTTAAATCCATAGGACTGCACAAAATATGATCCTCCAGTAAACATCAGCGCTTTCAATTCACTTGTACTTATTTGTGTCATAGCTTGAAGCTGTGTTCCTTTAGTCCAGTGGTCAGTTTTGATCCTCTTTTTATGGCTCTTGACAGAATGTATTGTAAAACATACCCTCTTAAAATTCAGTCCAAAACAGTGCCCATGGGAGTAGTATTCATTTTTGAAATGTTTTTAAATTATTAAATACAGGAATGCTTTTTAGGAGATTTTATCCCTGAGACCGAGGACACATATTTCTTACATGCAGTATTGATCAGCCAGTCTGTTTTTGAACTGGGCTGTCCAGAGACTAGAGCTGTTTTCACTCACTAATGAGTTGGTTGTTGCATTTCATGCTCTTAAACCCATTACCCTCAAATAAGCATCTGTCTCTTAGTAGCTGTCCTTTTTATTAGTAAGTTACCTCATCAGTGTTTTTTTGTCATTTGTTAAGGCCAACGGCTCCATAAAAAGCAGGAGGCTGTAGAGCTAAATATTGCACAGATTGATTTGTCTGTATTGATGTCAGTGGTGCTTGCAGCCAGGCAGGAATGAGGATAATACATATTATTATTATTATTATTATTATTATTATACAAAAAGTACAAAACACACAGATGATAGATTGGCAGGCACACTGTGATTGGCTGCCAGAGTGCAGAGCTCATGTTGCCCAAACTTGGTCTATGTCAGTCTTTGGCTATAGCTATTTGTATTCTGCCAAGTGCCCTACTTCATTTCCATTGTTTCTCAAATTGATTTTGCGCAAATGTTCACTGCATTGGCAACTAGACTTTGTCCTGGGAGGTTTCTGTTTCTGCTAGACTGGTCCATTTCATGCTGCAGGACTGTTGCCAGATAGGAATTAGTGTGGAACGGATCATTAACCTGAGCGGCTGCACAGTTTTCTGGGCTGGGTTTTGATGTTTTCAGCTGCATGTCCAGAGAGAGACAGCAGAGATGCCCGGGGACTACAGATGAAAACTGGCATTTTTTCAGAAATTTTATCAATATGCATAGTCTCTGTAACGTGAAGATAAGGATGCTACTATGACTTAAAAGGCTGTTGTGTTACCTCAAACATTGTGTTGATATAGTTTATTATTATTGGACTTTGTTGAAAACCCAATTAGCTTAGCCCATCTTTTGTATGCTAAATATGTGTCACTTAAAGGAGGATGACTAATTTATTATACGTTTTGTTATCTGAAATGTAAATATGCACCTTTTTATTATTTTAATTAATATACTAAGTAACTGCTACACTGGGTAACTTAGTTAACACATGACTTTCTTAGTTTTTGAGGTTTTACGTATTTATTTTGTTCTTGCGTCTTCTTTCTTTCTCTCTTTCTACTTGATCCGGCTTTTTCGTGCTCTCTCCTTCCACTTGTACTGTACCTTTTATGTTTGTCCCTTGGTCACCTGCTTGCCCTGTGTGTTTTTGCTGCGCTGTCCGTCTGCATCAGCCCCATGTTGTTTCATGGTTCCAGAGCACAACACGGTGCTGCGAGATGTCCCAGTTCTGTTAGTCCAGACAAGTCCGGGCATGTGGATGTCTGCAAGCTCTCATACGAGGGTGAAAGCCGAGCAGTGGGAACCAGAGACTGGGACCAGATGAATCACTAGGGCTGCACGCAAACACCACGGGGACAGATTGTTGCACTGTGGGCTACATGTTGCGAATGCTGTCATAAATTTCCATGTCACGGAAGCAATAAGTGAAAGTGGACATTTGTACTGGCTTTTGGGATTTAAATTGCGAGCTACAGAATTTTCAGATGGATAAATGTTTCCAAATGTCATCTAGCACAGCATCAAATTATTTTCTACCATAGAAGAAGATTTGGAAGGATTTAGACACAATGTGATGACTTACTTTTTCATCCCCTGTCAACAAAGGCTGAACAATATGGAAAAAAAAAAAGTCACATTGTGACAAGATATTGTGATTTTTTTTTTTTAAACTTAAGACAGCACCCCCAAGCACAAGAAAAGCAATCTAGTGTATGCGGTCCAATGCGGTGAGGAATGCACAGACCTGTATATTGGGGAGACTAAACAACCACTACACAAACGCATGGCTCAACACAGAAGGACCAACTCCTCAGGTCAAGACTCTGCAGTCTACTTACATGTGAAGGACAGAGGACACTCGTTTGAGGACCACCAGGTGCACATTTTAGACAGAGAAGATGGATGGTTTGAAAGAGGTGTCAAGGAAGCATCTACACCAGGGTTGAGAAGCCGTCATTGAACAGGGGAGGGGGTCTACGCCACCACTTATCCCCCACTTACAATGCTGTCCTTTCATCACTTCCCAGGAAACTCAACAAACGTAGCCTATTGGCCTCAGGTGAAGATACCAACGATGGTCGTTCAGACTTGACCATAACGACTGTTGTTACAGCAACAAGGAACACTAACAAACTAATGTATTTTCTATTTTGTGTCTTCATTGTATGTTTTTCACATGAGATATTTTGATTAGATGGACAGACAGTTAAGCTATGTTCACACTGCAGGCCTTAATGCTCAATTCCGATCTATTGGCCAGATTGCCGATTGTTTTGATTGACTGTTCACATTATCTTTTAAATTACTCCAGTGTGAACTGGCCATGGCTTGAAACTGACTCGCATGCGCAAAAGAATAATACATCATCACACGCAGCACGCTGTTGCATGGAAGTAAACATGGAGGCCACAGAGGCGAGTGTCTATGGTTTTATTTTTAAATTGATTTCAGGTGGAAGACTGGGTATTTGTGGGTAAATGATGATGGGGACGAGGAGAGAGAGAGAGAGAGAGAGATTTTTTTTTAATTATGGCTTTTTGTGGAGCAATTATTTCTATGCTGTATTTCCGCTAGCGCAGAATTGATATGACGTCGCTCTGGAATGACGTCAGAGTTGCATTAGTTCCCGGTTTTCACTGTCCATTCTGAGGTCGCATTTTAAAATATCTGACCTGTATCTGGTGTGGACCACATATGAATGTGGCCCAAATCTGAACTGGAAAAAAATCAGATTCCATGTGACTTGTGCTATTCCCACTGAGCAGAAAATTCAGATTTGCGTTACTTTAGCATGCAGTCTTAACGCAGTTTTAGAGACTAGCTGGTGAACAAAGTGGAGTATCCGCAAGCTTAAGAGCCAGATATTTCCCTCTATATGGTTAAGGTTAGGTAGAGACCAAAGCTAAAAGAAGAGTGAATACATTTTTACTTTCCTCATGTCTACTGGATGTGTTAAAAAAAGTTGTGATATATCGTTGTTGCGTTCACAGTTTGTTGTTGATGAAGTGGTCAAAACAATCAATTAATGCAGGTTTACAGTTTTTTCTAAGTAACAGAAGCTCACCCAATGTAGATCACTGACTCAAAACACATATATCCAGTGGGAACCCATGGATGCAGTGGCAATGGTCCATCACGCCTCTCTGAAAAGTAATACCTGTTCCCATGCTCTGGGCAACTATTCTAGCAGGACTTAATCAATCTTCGGTCGTATCTGTAAACAAAATATCTCTAAGATATTTAGATTTACATACAAATGCTGTACACTGCAATAATGTAATGTTGGCCTGAAGGAAGATGTTAATCTTACTAAGAAATAGGCTGTAGAAGCTTTAGCATCAAAAAAGACAGCTGTTGTGGTAAAGTCTAACAATTGTCTTGTTATAGAGTATACCTTTTGTTACACTGCTTTGGGCCCCTGAATGACCTTAATCCTGTACTGTGTATCACAGGATGATGGTCTTTTTTGTTTTGTTTTTTAATAAATGGTTGATGGTTATGTCGCACACAAAGCCATGTAAGGACTGCAGAATCACAACCCTTGATCTTCAGTTCTGCCACTTTAGAGGAGCTCTTGGAAATTTCTTGCTTTTAAAGTGGTAGGTATCAACAGCAGTTTAATCACTATCAGCATTTCAGGACAGGTGTTATTTATGGGTAGGTTGCAGAGCCATGTCCTAACACATCTTCATTTCTATTTATTATTCTGTGGGGAACCTGAAAGCTTTTGAGTTAATGTCACCCAATGACTCGAGATTTGGCTAACCTACCATTTCGCAGTGTATACTATGTCTTGTGGTGTTCCACTTGCTTAATGTATTGCCGTTTACGTTGTTCTCGAAAAAGATTTCCTGCCAGGGATTTCATGTTACATAGTGCAGTAGTAGGCACACTGGGCCTGAGTCGCAATGACTGAGAAGCCATTCTCCCTATTATAAGTCAGTGTAACATCAGAATTACTTTGAAGCTGTTATTTTAAGATAAAAATACTGCATAATTTTTCTTTAAATGTAATTCTTACACTTAACAAATTTAGAAAGGATAGTAACTATCAATGCATGTCAGTTAAATAATGGTGGAATCTCCAAAGCTAAGTTTCTTACTGTGTTTATTTGTTCTGTTCCTTTGGGTGTATCCCTGTGAAGTTAAGTAAAGTAAGTATTGACAATGACTATAAAATTATTGTTTAATAACTCTTTTTTTGTCAGCATAACATTTAGAACATTATGGTATATGATTTTATAGTTGTGACAGATGCTAGTCACAGCACAGCAACAGAGCCTGGTTTTTAATAGATACCGTCATGGTTATAAACAATAACTGACTCTAAAGTTTGTGTGTGTGCAGAGCAAGGCGGACGGTCAAGGAGACGGCCAGATGGTGAAGCTATCCAAGTTGAACGGAGTGAAGAAGATTGAAGATGAAGGGGAAAGAAGAGAGATGATCACCCCTGCCCTTAGAGAAGCACTGACAAAGCAAGGTGAGGAAAAAGGGCATTTGGATTCAGTACACAAAAAGTTATAGATTAGAGCGCTTACACACAATAAATTAGAAACAAAGATCAAAAGAACATCAGTATGGTACACAATGGACACTGTTTCGACTGGTGGTGCTATGTTATGACTTTTGTAGCCATTTCTAAAAGAACATCTGCTGAGTGTCACTGTGGATAATATATTCATATTATCTAGCTGCACTGCTTTGCAATAAAAAATCACATTACAGACCTAGCACACCAGCTGCTTGTCAGCATATCCTTAAATTTGCTCTTTCCACAAGGGCAGCAACCTCATAATTCACTTAATACATGAATTATGAGTCATTGCTTTTTTCAGCAGTAAATCTAAAAAAACATGCCTCTGGAGATTTCTATTTAGATGTTATTTCTGAAAAGTATTTGTCACTGACCTAGTTGTCCCTTCTTAAACTCAGTTTACCTCAGATGTTTTTTGCACTGTAATTCATCAAGTATCCTGTTTACTGGCCTCAGATGGTAATTACTTGGGCATACCACACTGGAAGAAGTATTATGTTGGAACGTCTGGTTAGATTATGTTAAGGTTAATGAGCTGCTGAAATTCTGTCCTGTCTTGCAGCCTTTTTTCTAATATTGTGACAGAGAAATTGGTCAGGTAAAGCTGGTCAGAGGTGCGTCACGAGGAGAGGTGTGGAGCTGGGGAATGTGTGTTGGCTAATGGCACTTAATGATGCACTGCAGTCCAATTACCTTCTGTGCCTCCTCCTGTCCTCAGGGTGCAGTTGAAAAGTGTTTTAATTCTCTCTCCTCCCACATTGAAACCTCAACAAAATTACTCCTAGCAGGTTTCAACATGGTGGTAAATTCTTAATTCAACATCCAGACCTTGTAGTTAAACTTATGTACTTAGTCACCTTTTAGAAGAAGTTTTGTTTTGTCGGTTCAAATTTAAAACTATGCTATATATTTTACTGAACATTTCCTTTGAAAAATGATGGTCCTCTACACGTAAACTAGGCGTTAACTCATTGCAACATCTTAGATTACACATTCACCCCTGATATCCATAATGTACAGGCAATGTCACTTTCCACCTGGTATTTTTAAAATTGGATGTGAAATGATCTGGTGGATATATATTTGTATATATTTATATATACAAATATATCTATATATATATATATATATATATATTTGTGCTGCTCGTATGAAAGATTCAGATTCATGTCAATGTTGCCTGAATTCAAAGAAGGTGGGCTCTGTCTGAATGCTTAACTTTAAGTATGGCTTAATTATGATATTTTACCTTGTGTTTGGGTAAATGAAGCTACATGTAGTGTATCCATATGTTTTATGCCTTTCATAAAGTCTAGGTTGTTGACTCATTTTACTATCTCTATTTAGTCCATTCACTTGTATAGCACTGGCCAGTAATTTTCAGCTAGTTGCCCCCCGCTGTTGGCTTACACAACACTCTATAAATAGGACTTTGTGAGCAAGACTTCACTTCATTTGACCAAATGTTGACCCATTTCATGGTGTTTATGTTGGCAGCAGTCAGTCCCAGTCGACAGTTTGTTTTATTTGCAATAAAAGAATGAAGGATGAAGGTTTTGGCATTGTTTTAATGATATTGGGTCTTGGAAGGCTGTATTTCCTGTTTTCTGGCATGACATGGATGCGAATGTCACAAATCTATTGAAACTCTTGTGTAATGTCCTAGAAAGTTTTAAAATAATCCTGCACATTTAAGAAAATAGTTTGTTGTCATCACAGTTGAGTAGACCAGATTTTTTAAATTGCACACAAACGTGCATACCGTACCTACCTACACACCTTTAAATCTATTTCTGTGAAATGTGTGTATTTGCACCAGTAAAGTGTAAACATAGTGGGAATAAATTGTGAAATTGTCATAGTTAATGGTATTAGTGCACTTAATACCTTAATAACTATAATCAATAGCAAAAGCTATATTTTTTTCCACATGATAGAAAATCTGGCACATCTGCTGCAAGAATGTCATTAAGTGAGTTTTAAATTAGTTAATATATAAGTTAATAACATTTTACAAGGAAAAATGTTATTTCTCATTAGAATATTCACTCTTCACAGATTGAAAAATACATTGTCCAGTGTTGACTTAAACTAGTTCATGTTAGATCCTGAAAAAGACGCGGCAGATCTCCAAACAAATTAAGCTGATTTTCCAACTCTTTAATTAAACACGTTCTCTCCCTGCTCATTTTATTTCCCTCAGGCGGCTCAGAGTGGACGACAGAGTATCACAGATCAAAGAATAACTTGTTTGCAGAATTGTCAATAATGTTATACCCAAATTGCTTGGGCACCACTGATTTTGTGCTACAGAACAGAACAGAACAGAAAGTACAATTATTCACAGCACATACTGTACTTTTATAATAGATGGCATAATAGATGGCATTTCTCAAAGATAAAGGGGATATAGAAAAACCTTTACTTTATTCCCTTCGTCTGCCTCCCCCACACTTGGCTCAAGCCTCTCCACTGACACATTAAAGGACTCGGAGGCATTGGAAATCAATTTCCCTAACAAACACAAGAGGGGAAACATTGCTTACATTAAGATCATTAATAGTTAAAGAAACTCCCATCAGGCCCAAATCCTTACTGTGGTTTCCACAGTATGTTGGCATGGGATTATGTAGTTTTTATGTGTCTCGCAGTTGCTAGGAGGGAGGTTAGAGGGAGGACATTTGCTCTCAAGGTATTATCAGATGGATAAAAAAGGTTTTTATGCTGTTCAGCATGTTTTGGCCCCAAAGAGAAACGGGCACAACACACATTAGGTGTTCAAGCAAAAGGGAATTGAATTCTGTGTGTGTGCCTTTTTGTATTTGAGCGTTTAGGGTTAGAGTGATTCTTCTACTTATCAAAAGAAGTAGCTTGATCAATGGCAAGCTGTTTCATTCAGGTTGTAAATTAGAAATAAGTATTTTCACCGTTAAACAATTCTCTAAACAGCCTTGATGAGTAAAGTTTTGTGTTTGACTCATCTAGCATCAAACATGCAATCTGTGGAAGCAGTGAGAGCTCATATACACCCTGACACAAATTCCCTTCTCTGTTTTAATACAAGGATCCGAAATGAAAAAAATGCCACCTGAATTCCACATCAGGCTGTTTTGCAACACTGCATGGCTTAAGAAGAAAATCTTTTTAAACATTTGGCACTTTTTGATTCCCCTAGAAGCAGTCCTAATATCTTGTTCTGGTATTTCTTGAGCAGATTAAGTGATAGAGATAAAACTATTCTCTTTGACCGAGGATAGAGGAGCGTTTAAAAAACCCCAGAGAAGCCGGCGAGGACTTACCCAAACGTGGCCATTCATAGCCAGTGGTAGTAGGCAGTGGTAATATAAAAGGATAGAGAGGCAGAATTGTGAAGAAAGTGAATTTGAAACACTTTATCCGCCTTTTGTGCTGAAAGGGATTTTGAAACGCTATCCACTCCTTTCTACCGTTGACGTGCCCTTGAGCTGCCACTAGTTGCTTTGTTGGAGATGTTCAGTAGCCTAGCGGATGACTGTGAATGAGTATGACTTTGTGGATGCTGAGCAGGGCTTTGTTGATGTACCACTCAAAGAAAATGTAATCTCCACTTTTCTATGTGTTAATTATCAGCTGAAATTGCCCTATGTGGTTCTGGGTCAAAGAGGTGTTCACTGTTCAGCCGTATTCTTCTCATATGATGTTCTTTCTCTTTCCGTGCAGGGTACAAACTAATTGGAAGTCACTCAGGAGTGAAGCTTTGTCGATGGACCAAGGTAATGGAATTTACTCTTCTCAGTAAAGCATGACACTTTGAGACCAACTGATTGCATGATTCACATGAATGTTGTTGTCTCTGTTGGTTAGTCTATGTTGCGAGGGAGAGGAGGCTGTTACAAGCACACTTTCTATGGGATTGAGTCCCACCGGTGCATGGAGACTACCCCCAGCCTCGCCTGTGCTAACAAGTGTGTCTTCTGCTGGAGGTATGTACCTGAAGAATACAGCCACTGGAGTGGCTTCAGGGGCCAGTGTCACAAAGATAGACTTAGCCTATGACTTAGATCAAACTAATAGTCAGTCCCTAATACCATACTCAGATATCAAATTCATCTTTTGCACAAAGCTGTGTGGTTCTTTACTATCTTAAGTAAGACAAATTTGCTAAGATTAAGGCTAAGAGTATAACAATGCAAAAGACTTGCCTTAGTGTAAATTTTCTTTGCAGTACAGACCTGTAGCAGACTTCTTAATGTAGTGGGGCCAAGTATTTCCGCTAACTCATCAGTCAGGCTCAAGATAGTTGGTTAAACAAAAACATGTGACGCTGGCTTCTCTGCTGTCTCCCAGCAGGTTATATATAGGGTCATTATTATTGGGCTTAGAATAAGTCTTAATTTTAATGAAACTGAAATGTCTTAACTTGCGTTGGACTATGAGCAAAATTAAGACCGGCTTAATACTATAGACCAGTGTAAAATGTCTTTATGAAACCAGCCCTAGGTCCTTAGAACCTAGCCAGAAATAACTTTTACTGTTGGCTGTTTTTGGTCCCTGAAATCAGTAAGAAGAATCTTGGGAAATTCAGGGAGAAGTCTATGTAATAGGGGTAATGGACCTTTCAAACAGACTGCCACGACAGCACTGCTGCACTGTGAAACCCATTATTTTCAATGGCAGTTTGTTGCTGTGTCAAGCAAAGTGCAAGCGCAGCACAGCGCGCTGCTCGGCAATCTTGCATGCACGCAAAATAGTCGAACTTTTGCGCTGAACCCCGCGGCTAGAGCGCAGCGCAAATCGCTTCCTATCTGAAAAGGTGTGAGGATTATGGACAGAACGGACCCAAACGCAACGCTTCAGGTTTCTAAAGAGGTTTATTGAGGGGAAAAAAGGGGATGTAGAGGGGCTGGAGAAAGGGGGAAAGATGGGCACCGGCAGACGTGGGCGCGGGGGACCAAGGAGCTGGCGGAGCAGGAGAGGTTCAGGCGAGAGGGCCGAGGGGGGGCGGGAGGCCGAGGTGGGAAGGATGTGGTGGCTGGTGGTCCAGCAAGGAGCGAGGGGAGAACCGGGGAGTGCCATGGAGGCGGTGAGAGGGGAAGGCAGGTGGGCGAGCCCGGCTGGGCGAACGGGGAGGCAGAGGTGAGTGGACCTGGCGGGGGAAACAGACAGACAGGGTTAGTTCAGGGTGACAGGAGACGAAAAAGTTTGACGTGAATAAGTTCATAAAAAGCTTGAATGTGGCTGTGGCACCAAGTCAGGAGCTACGACGATCAAGCGAGGATGGAGTGGAGAGCCGGGGTAGAAATACTGGTCGAGATGAAGCTGATAGCTGGCAGGTGTGGCGGTCGGAGATGGAGGTTGATGAGACGCAGGTGTGGATAGCCAGCCGGGCTCCGGAGCGGAGAGAGGGGGAGAGCACACAGAGGGAGAGAGGAGGAGACACAGGAGAAACCAGGATGCAAAGGAGGAAAAGAAAAACAGGGCACTCACCATCAGCCGGGCTGCCACCGCAACAATAAGTCTGTGCTGAAACAATTTGGTATTTATTGGTATCCAGTTGGCTACATTCCTTTACTTATTTTATAAAACCTTAAAACAATGAAAGGTGCACTGCTGTCACGTTATGTAAAACTTGAATTAGTTATTAAAGACATTGGTTTATTTGAGAGTATAACATTTTACCACTTGAACTATAGTGGAATCTACCACAAGTAGGCAGGCAATTTAACATTTTAATAACATTTGGGGATTATTGTCTGCGTGTAACTTTGCAACTTTGCAAGTTTTCTCCTTTAAACAAGCACGTAATAAGTTGTTCACATAGTTAGTCATGACTACTCCCTGTCATTGTTGATCTGGCTGTGGCAAACAAGTTAATGATTTATGTGCAGAAGACTAATGGCCAGCATAACTGCGAGGCCTAAAGGTGGACACTGATTCATCATGACACCGGTGAGAGACTGAGCCTTTTTCTCTCCTCAAGTTCCATTTAAAAAGGTGGCCGTGTTGAGCACTGAAAGGTTGCTGTCAGAATGTGCTGCGGTGAACTGCTTCTCTGTCACCACAGATAAGCCAGCCTCTCTTAAGGCAGCTATGTGGGATGACAGGAAGTAAGCAATTTCAGGGTACAGATGTATTGTTACAGCTGCCCTCACCATCCGCCTCTCTGTAGCAACAGGTGGAATTACATTTGATGTGCAAGGCTAGCATGTCTGATGTGAGTGTGTCCATATGCATGTGACAGACTGTCTGAAATTTGCGATCAGGATCTGTTGTTGCACCTACACATCACACTTCAGACAGTCAGAAGGTGTTATTAACACCCAAAGGAGGTGCAATTTATTACAGTAGGATACATTCTTTCACTATATATGTTTATATAGTGTGAGAATAGAATACGCATGGCCCTTATTTCACTTTCAGTTTGTTAATAAATTTCTTCGGTCTTGATATTTGTCAACTTGTTAGAAGGATTCTCCTCTAAATTTAGTGAAATGTGTTTTGTGTCAGTGAGCTGCAGCAGGTGGTGAACAAGTGGTAGAGTGGCATTCCTAACTGAGTGGTTACAGGATGTCTGCTGCTGTTCCTTATCTGTTTATCTGTGTGCCAAACCTAACAGACATCACACAAACCCTGTGGGCACAGAGTGGCGCTGGAAGATGGACCCTGCTGAGAAAATCCTTCAGGATGCCTTGGAGAAGCACCAGAACATGATTCGGCAGTTCAGAGGTCGGTCCTTTAGACGGTCACACATGTAAATATGTAAATACGAGTGTTCCCTCATGTTCCTTCTCGTTGTATAGCTTTGTTTCTCCAGCAGTCTATCTGGTTTTTGTTTATCCATCAGCTACACTGTGTCTACAATCAAAACAATAGAAATAAGCATGGGCACAATAACACACAACACAAGGTCTTCGTTATGCACGCTTTGCCTCCTTACTAGCTACTTACTATGTGTAATGAAGCAGAGTGAAGATCAAAATGCTGCGGTTTCATCACACTCTTGCTGTACTACCTCATCAATCACTTTTCAACACACACAAACACACACACACAATTTAATTTCCCCATCTGGCACCTCCACTGTGGCTTATTTAGTACAACTTCACTCTTCACTCTTTATTTTCTCAAAACTTTTCAACATTTGAGCAGTAACCTCACTAAGGGTTCTTCAGAATAAAAGTAAAAGGACTGTATGTAAGGTTTTGTAATAGAAGAATTATCTCTGTGCCTACATTTGTGGGCTCCTTCTATAGGACTTGTTTTAATACTGTTGGCATTTGGGACTTTTTCATTGGCTCCTACCAGCATTGGCTGAGGATGGCTGGATGGATGCCCAAAGCTCGGACAAAACAGAATTTAGTGATGATCCTGTGAGTATTCCCTTAGCAGATTTTCTATGAGAGGTTTTGGGAAATGTTGTCAAAACATGGTGGTGACACATTAATCAGACATTTATTAAAGCAAACAAGCACTCATTGGAAAATTATTTGTATCCCATATGGATTTAACAGTTTTAAACAAGATATTTGCTGCAAGCTATGTTGATTATTTTTTACAGCCTAGGCCTAGTCCACACGGGTATTTTTATAACCGGAGTTTTCCCTCCTGCGTTTAAAATAAAATCTCTGTCCACATGAAAACGCAAACACATGCTATCAAGCGCTGCCAAGAGCATGCCAAAACACCTGGCTGGGATATGGCCCTAACCGTAAAGCCATGTTGGCCAATCAGAGCCTAATAAAATTGTAAATAAAGCAGGCAGTGGCGCACAATCTGACATCAAACACATAGGATAACGGCGCATACTGTGACGTCGTAAGGCAAAACCCCTGGTTTTACTGCAACCAGAGTTTCTGAAAATCCTCACTCTGGCAGGAGTTTTCAAAAATGTTGGGTTTCAGTGACCTGATTCTGCGTTTCCGTGTGTACGAACGGCCGAACTGCGTAGAAAAAGTCACGGTTATGAAAATACCCATGTTCGTGTAGACATGGCCTTTATCTATCAGTAAGCTTTTTAATTAAACAATTATCATTTAATCTATAAAATGACAAATAATTGTAAGAAATGCCCAGCACAATTGCACAAATTATGAGACGATGGCTTCACATTTCTTGTTTTGTCTGACCAACATTCAAAAAGCCAAAGGCATTCAAGTTACAATGATAAAAAATAGAAAAAACAAAAAGCAAATGGCAAATCCAAACTACATCATGTACATTATTTCACAGGTGTGATGCAAAGCAAAGCCCGTTGAGACTCAGAACTAATTTAGCCTGCAGATCCCTGTCAGCACAGCCTCTCTCTCGCTCGCTCGCTCACTCACTGGCTCACTCACTCTCTCACTCTCACACACACATACACACACAGACACTGATGGCAGCGAGCTTCCATGCAAGGTGCTGGTCAACCATCTGGAACAATTTGTGGTTAAGTCAGTGTCTTGCCCAAGGACACTTTGCTATGTGGACAGGGGGGATGGGATCAAATTCCCAAATCTGTGATCAGTGGGCAACATACTCTACCTCCTGAGCCACAGCTGCCCCAACATGTGTGACTTCATCTCCAGCCAAAGTATTCTTAAGGCCTGGCTTGATCCTGCTACCTTACAGTTATATATATATATATATATATATATATATATATATATATATATATATATATTATAGTGGCTTTGATATATCCTCAAAGCCACTGCTGATCCCATTATAAAAACAGAGAAGTAATTGTACTCAGGAAATGAGAGGGATGCCAAATGCTAAAAGCTTTTGAGACATATCTTCTTCAAAGGGCTACTTTATAGCTAATATCATTCTCAGAGCAGTCATGAGGTATTATAATGCATGTCATAGAAAATGTAATTTCCTGATGTGACTATAATGGAACAATAGCGCACATAACCTTATGTTGACAGTAAGCTTCTGCTTCTTAGGTTACTTAGAGTAAAAAAAAAAAAAGTCACAAAATGGATTACAATTACGACATTGTGTGCATAAAATAAAGAAAAATCCATTTTCTGATTGCTTTTACAAAGTAAAGCTGCAATTATAATTAGAAACAGACTAGAGCAAAGTGAAAGCCTATATTGTTATCATCCATAATTTTCTTTCCAGTTGCACTTTAAAATCATAATAGGCAGCCTTCAACTCCATTTACCATTGACAGTGATACATTTAATAATGCCTAGCTCAATGAGCTCTCCAGACAGTGCCTCTGTAAACCCACAATGTGATTAACAGGTTGGTTTCTGCTCTGACTACATGATGATCTGCTGCCTGAAATGTCTCATCAAATTGCAGTTCTAAACAAAGTTATTAGTCACCCTTTAAATGTGAAAAAATGCAGTTTGAATTACAAATTCAAAGTCAGAATTCCATTTCTGACTGTAGGAATCCAGACCACACTTAACTTAACAGACCCCATGAGATGATTTTGCCCTTAAAGTGATTTAATTCCTGTTGACAGAGCATGTTGTGACTGGATATAACACTTAATGGATCATTTTAACTTTGATAATATTTTATTGGTTAAGGAGGGATTCACTGTTTTGCAGGACGTTAAAGAGTCTGATTCATTGGGTCTTGGATCTCTGGTGAAACCACCTAAATGCTGTTTCAGGTGCTTGGATGCGCCTTTTATAAAAACTCTGAGGTGGTTTGTTTGTTGCTTGGTGATATTCTAAGTCAAAGCATGAATTAAATATTTTGTTCTGTGATTCTCTTAGCTACAACAACTCAGCACTTTTAATTTTTAAAATGACTCACTCCCAGTCATTCACACTGTACTCCTACACTGCACCCTTCCTTCCAAACACATATGTCCTTGTTTGATTTTTTCCAAACAATGCCGCCGGGAAGTGTTCAGTGTATTTCCTGAATCACACATTATGAGCAAATTAAACCGGGAGAAGAAGTCTGCAAACCAGAGGATAATGACTCTTCTGTGAGTGTTGGTGTTGAACCAGAGATAATGCAGGTCAAGTCCAGAGGACATTGAAGGTCTTTAATAATCTCTGTCTTCCCTTGAATCAGTCTGTAACCATCATCACTCAACGTGTAATTGATCCCCATGTCCTCGCTGAAAGACTTCTTATCTGAGAGATCCAAGGACCTCAAGGGAGAGAATTATGTGAGAATGTAGTGGAATTTCATATTTCTAACAACATAAGATATATACATTTAATGAGGTTTCACAACTTGTCGTACCACACATGCACCGCTCCTCAGCTGGTTGTTATGAACAGAGCTAAGTGGGATTTCTCCTGGGGGACAGTTTGTTGTTTGATGTCTTTGCAGCTGTTGTGAGATTTAATTTGTCCTTGAAAGGTAGTAACACAGTAACAGTTGATTTCTGTGGTTCGATCGTAGAAAATGTTGCAAACTTATTAATAATTCACACAGTTTTTAAAGCAAATGAAGGCAGCAGGCCAAACCTTTATTTATTTAAGATTCACAGCATGTACTCTTAAATTAAATGCCATCTGCTGTATCTACAGCAATATTACGTTAAACCCCCTAAGACTGTCCCCCTTAAGCTATTACTATTTGTTTATTCCAAAATCTTGCCATGTTATACAGCATTTAATATTTTATATTATCAACAGAAAGCAGGCTTATATAATGCGGGTGCATCTGTGTTACTTTACTTAACACCCCTACTTCCTTGCCCACCCCCCCCAAATCCCAGAAGCAGACTTGATCAAATCACAGATTCCATATATCTCCATATTCAAATAAAGACTCACATCATCTCTCCAGGGTTTTTTTTCAGTGTCATGTCCCAGGTGGTTGTTTTCATTAAATCATTTTGCTTGTTCTATGTATCTGATTTTATGTAAATTCGGTGGTCTGTAGTCGTGATCCAAATGTGGACTTTCCTCAATAGGACAATTATAATTTCCTTTGGCAACCATAACCACCATAGCCATTACTAATGGAAACTTAGAAATGATTCCTCACTCATTGTACTGGGTCAGGAAATCAGTCTTATTTGGAGCAACATTTGATGCATATGGTTTGTACTGTGTTCAGTGCTTAGCTGTCTTTTCAACTGTTACTATAAATAACAACAAAACAAATTATTTTCTTTTGGTAAATTTAGAAATCTTCAAGTTTAATAGCCCTAACCAAAAAAATGTTATAATATTCATCCGACACAGTCAGGAACCTATGCTGAGCATGTTTTTACAGAGCCCTGCAGTCTAAGAGCACCCTGTGGAAGGAAAGTGAGAGGGAGTGGAAGAGGGATGAACAATGGGCCCAACTCCTAAAGCTGAAACTTTTACTGTCTCTCCTCCCCCTCTTTTTTTTCATGAGCACCACACGTCTTGTGTCTATTTGGTTTTATCTAATTACTTAGTTTGACCTCACTTCAAACCCTGACCTAATGCTGGTATTCCCCACTGTTTGTTTTAACCTTCTAGTGCTTTAATTTGTGCTTCCACATGTGATGCCTCTCATTTTATTGTTGGGAGACACCGGTTAAGTCAAAGGTGGAATCTGCTTCAAAACCTCTCTCCCACCAGGTGTCCCTGGAGTGAAACCTGAGCGGTACGAGGAGGGCTTGGCAGTCAAGCACTGTGCCCTCTCCCTCGTGGGTGAGCCGATCATGTACCCCGAAATCAACACCTTCATCCGCCTCCTCCACTCACAGCACATCTCCAGTTTCCTGGTCACCAATGCACAGTTTCCTCAGGAAATCAGGTTGGTGCAAAACTGACACACACTCCTTGTTTGTGTGGCTGTTACTATTTCTTTCTTACACTCAAAATATCAATTCCACCCAATCTGTTTTGGCGTTTTTTAGCCTTTCCTTTGCAAGCTTTTTTCTTTGAAATCTGGGAGAATGAATTGAAAAGTAGGGAGCATGAGTGTGTCTTAGCAGTTAGATTTGGTTCTCTAGTAGAAAACATCAATTGTTCAGTCTCCACAGTTGTGAGTGCTGTGTGTGCTTTAACAAGCAGGGTACAATACAGTGTGGTTGAATGAAGTTGTTTGTTGTGCTCAAAACATAAAACATCTGCAATACATCAAATTAAACTTGCAGTGCTTTGAGCAGCATAAACAAAATCCCATTTCCTTCAATTGTACACATACTTTTCTGCTGTCTGTGGTTTAACAGTGTTCAGGTCTTCCCCTTTCTGCATCTGTTTCTTTGATAGAGGAGTTCACCACAGGCACAGTTACTGGAGGCACCTCCAGTAACTGTATGAAAAATTCATAAAAGACGTTCCACCTCATGGCTGTATGTGCAACAGATTATACACAAACACACATGCAACTTTCTGTGTTACGCACTTTTGATGCTGGAGAGTTTTTGAGCATCATCATGAAAAGTTTTTTCCAGCACTGTGGCTTCTACATTCTGTCAGCACAACTCTGTAGCTGTATACCTTTCTGACATCCCTTTGTGTAAAAGAGAAAAAAAATCATCACATAAACAGTATGTAGTGTGAAGTGTTTATAGAGCAACATTGCCATTCACTGAAAAGAAAACAGCATTAGACAGAAAGTTAAAACAGATCTTTATTGTATTATTAATTATGTTAGCTCACTTAAAAGTTTCTTTGCACATAAAAAGAAAAAAACAACTATTTGGGAGGAATTGTAGTTTCGTGCAAGTGCTTCACATAAAAAAAATTGCAAACACAATATGATTGTGTATTGACACCAAAAGATTTGAGAGAGCACAAAAACAAATTCTGAGCGCTGCTCAATCTACAATTCAACATTTGTGAGCATACAGGCACAGAATCGTAAGAGCAGAATCAGTTTTGTGTGTGAGAGAGGAGAGAATCATGAGCTTAACAGAGGATTTGAGCATTCAAGTGTAACTACGTAACTACATTTGAGCGAGCAGTTAGAAACAGATTATCACCAGCCTAGACTGTAGAGGGTGTATGTCGCTGTTTTGGACATTTTCATGTCCAGATGTTTACCCTCATTTCAGACACTCTTTCCCCTTTGACCTCAAATCTAGAAATGCCACTCTGTCCAGAAGCCTTGCAGGTTGTCATAAAGATATACTGTACCCTGACAAAGCCAATATGTCCACTAACTACTCATCGAGCAGGTTGAAGGCCAGGACATCAGCCATCAGCCATTTGTTTCCTGTCTGCCAGAGCCACCTGGTTTGAGATGAGCTGTTGCAGTTTATAGAATCTCTCGTCCAGTCATGATTTGATGAAGGGGGGACTGTTTATTTTTTGTACGAAGATTCACCAAAAGTGCTGAATTTCTGGACTTTCTGTTTTATTGCTCATTTGGATAATTGGCTATTTTTGCATCTTTACATAATTGCCTCTCTTGCACAGAAATATGTTTATCTCCCATCTAAAGACACACGGAAGGCTAGTTCTCTTCTTGTTTCAGTCAAATGAATCTTTTACACTTTTCTGGTTCTGTGTACTACTCTGGTGTGTCTTGCTCTCACAGATTGTGCAAGAGTGCAGCTACACGCAAATAAGTTAAAGTGTTTTCTTATTTAATGTTGATGAGAAGCTCTCCGAGTTTTTCACAGCTTTCTCATCCGCCACCTCATTTGCCTTTGGAATACAGTTGTTGCTTTTTCCACAACTACATAGAGCGTTTGAGTTCACGTCATTGCATGTATGTTATCGAATCAAGGTAGAAAAAGAAGGGTACACTAAGAAGCAGATCTATAGACAGGGGGCAAATTGATGGTACAAATTAAATGAATAACCTGTATGTTGTATATAACCTGTGTGAAAAGCGTGGAGAAACATCAAATGCAGATACTTTCGTGCACTTGAATTTTTCACCCATGTTTATATTTAGGCCAAATGTTTTTTTGTCTTGTCTCAGAGAGCTGCCAGAAATTCACTCATATGTTCTCAACAGTATGTAATGGCTTGATGACATTTGGGAAGACTGCGACTCAAGAAAAAGTCTTGAATTTAAAATGTATTCTTTTTTTCCCTTTTTATTCTTATTTTTTTTCTTCAAATGCTTTCTAGGTTTTGTACTCTCTGTTATTAGACTCTGGATCATTTTAATCTCCTTTCCCTCCATAATTTCTGTTATTTCCAGGAGCCTGGTGCCAGTTACCCAGTTGTATGTTAGTGTGGACGCCAGTACCAAAGACAGCCTGAAGAAGATTGACCGGCCACTTTTCAAGGACTTCTGGCCCCGCTTCCTGGACAGCCTCAGGGCTCTGGGAGAGAAGGTAAGCTGTCCAAAGCGCTAGTTTGGCTTCCAGCCAGGTGGTAAGAGAGGTGAGTTTGTGAACAAGAAGTTGAACTGTATGTTACTGTTAAGTAAGGTGCTGCTCAAAAGAATATGCCATCTCAGTGAAATTTACCTGTATAAATAAGGTAAAACTATTGCTGTACAGTTGCAAATTACACAATTACACAAATCCTCCACAAGTAAGATTGCTCATTTGATTTCTTAATTTGCAGTTGGCCTCACAACAATTATAAATATGATTTTATATCAAGAGGCCTTTATAATAACATTGTTCAAAAAAGGCTTTGTACTGCACTGTGCTGGGAAATCATTTTCTCTGCTTCCCTAGATTTGGGGAATTGGTGAGGCAATGCTGTTCAATGTGATTAAACTTTTGAAAAGAAAAGAACATTGCCTGGAAATTCACTGAAGCTCCATCACAACTTAACACAACAGTTAATTTCTTGGAAAGTTATTAAAGTAAAATTTTAAAGCAATCTTGTATCTCACTACCAGACTGTTGGAAGCGGTAGATTGGGATGTTCTCTATATTAACCAAGATCCTATGCAATAGCAGGAAGATGCCAATCAATGATAGAAAGCACTTCAAACCTTTAACACTTAACTCAAGGGGGGATGTGTGTTTTAAGTAGAGAGTTGATAATGATACTGCCATTACCGACATAATAAAAACATCCAGGGGTGTACATTTCTATTAAGTGTGTGATCTGTGTCCACAGATACCCCAGCAGCATTTTCAAAAAGTGTGTCCAATAACCTTGTGTGCCTTGTCATCATTCGTGAGCAGAGGGAAAGTCCATTATCACAGCCTGCATCAAGCCCTTGTGTAAATCGATTCTCTCTGTGATTCCTAAAAAGCCAAAGTGAGGGGGAAAAATAGTGCTTGAGTGTACCCACATAACAACCTAGAAAAGATGTAGGCTGTGAAGTCTCTCAGAGGGAGCCTCTATTACACCAATCTGTAATTGTCCTGCTTCCTCTTGTTTAATGCTTTAGCAAACAATGGACAAATTCATTACCACTCAGCTTGAGGTGTTTGTGAGTGCACGGCTCGAGGCAAATCAATGACGATAGATCATTGCACTCTGATTGCATTTAGATCCCCATTTTCACCACATGCAAACAGCAAATAACAATGTGAGGTAACTACAGGGGTGGGTAAAAAACAGGAATATCTTAGAATTAAAAGAACCAATAGCCTTTCAATAAACATTGTGATGTTAAGATGCTGTTTGGTAACCTTTTAATTTGGTCAAGTTCTCTATCTTGACCATTTATGAAAAACGTATATTAAAACAATATGTGGACATTAAACATATCTAATGTAGGATGCTGGTGAATATGGGTATGTTAGTATCACTGTTTTTTCCCACTCAGCGACTAAAGGTTAATCCAGTTTAGGGCAGATGAGTGACAGCGAAGTCCTGCTTGACCAGAGACTGACAGTTTTGCCTGCTGTCACATTCACTGCATACCCACTGGAATCTCATTACTTTGAATACTGCATCACAGTTTCACAGACAGAATTACTTGGTGTCTAATAATATAATGGTTCAGCATTCTCATGTGCATCTCATTAGCAGGGTGGTGATGACACAATGGATAAGACACATGCCTTTGGTATGGGAATCCCAGGTTTGATTTACCTCTTCCCACTGCACTGTGTCCCTGTGCAAGACACTTAACCCCTAGTTGCTCTAGAGGCATGTGACCTCTGACTTATATAGCATTTGTAAGTTGCTTTGGATAAAAAGTGTAAAATATATGTAAAATACCATGTTAGACATACTGAGGATGACACCAGATTTACAAACTCGGTATTGAAAATGTCAGCAACAACAATTATATGCACTGATCTCAGTCGTATACTATATGGAAGTGGCATGCGGCTTCTTTTCTCCGGAATCGATTTCTGGCATGAAAATATTCTGTATCTTTTAAGTGTCACATGCTTTAAGAGTTTCAGTAGGACAGTAGCTCGTTGTGGCAGCCAGCAAAATGTGAGCTTTCACTGTTTTGGTGTTAATACTGATGTATTTCACTGTGGTGCACAGTTGTGATGGATTTGCATTGAGTAGAGACATTGACTGTATAAGAAGTGGACGTAGTCATTGTGACGTCACCTGTTTTGAAGCCTCGAGTTTATATAGTTTACAATAGGGGGCCGCCATGTTGATTTTTTTGCAACCAGCGGCACCGGACGTGACCATATTTGGATGAGACGGCGGAGCTAACAGCCATGTGTGGAGTTAGCTAGCTTGCTTAGCTAGGTGCATCTGTAATTCACGTTAACTTTCATTTGTATTTGTAGGTGTGTTTGCACACTGACGTACACTTCAGTGTGACTATGTTTTTTCTCTGTGTGCAACTTTACAGTTTCCAAAAATAAGCTCTCATTCTGTTCCCATCACCCCCCGTCTCCCTGTCTCAGCTCCAGATTCCTTAGTCTCCATTTCATGGTGGGCTCTGTCCCCATCCTTCCTGGGCACTCATCCTTCTCTGTTCTCCGTTTGACAGCTTTCCTCCTCTCCTCCACCTGGCCTCCCTGACGGTGTGCTGGGGGTTTGATAGAGTTAGCCTCAGTATCAGATTTGGAATAGAGGCAGCTTGAAATACCTCACCTCCCTGCTTCGGCTGGCCAATTATTCCCTTCCCCGCTGGGCTGAAAAAGCCTAGTGTTATAGATAACCTTCCAGTGAAAGAGGAAGAGAGTGAGGGAAAGAGTTCTCTTTAGTCTTCTATGGTCATTTACATGTTTCTTTGTTTCATCCATTTCTCATTTCCTCTTTCCTCACCATTCCCCTTCTTTCATCTCTTCTACTAACCTTTCCTTGCCTTTCTTCCTCTCAGTCATATTGTCAATTATCCTCTTTCCCCTGCTATACAGAAACAACAATAGCCTGAATCTACACCATTCAACTGTGAGCAGAGCTGTTTCCAATACTTTAATTTACCCAGGGAAAGTTAACTGAGCATGTATAAGAGTGATGTCCAGACCAGGTTTTATTGGCCTTAATCTGAATCTGTATATATTAAATCTGCCAATTAGGGTTGTTCGATATGTATCATCTAGATAATATATTTATTGTTGTTTTAACGATGTGGGAGCAGAAAATATCAAAAACACCTCGTCTGTGCATTCACTGCGTCATGCATGCAGTACACGTGTGCTAGAGTTAAAAATTAAAAAATTCATGAAGCCACTGAAGGTAAAAATGAGTGAACAAACAGCTCCAGGAGATAAATCACTGACACCACCTGCCTCTCAATCTACGTCATTAGATTGAATTACTAGACGTGGGTCTGCCTCACTCGCATTGAGGTGGTTTGGCTTTGAAAAGACGGATGTTGTTAAAAGATGTCTTTTAATGTGAATCTGCAAATTATGTCAAATCGGTTCCTGTTAAAGACCACAAACTAACCACCGCACAGAATATCAAGAATATGAACATTTTCAGGAGTCGGCAGACTACAACAGGCCTAAAGCAGCTAAGATACCAATGCAAAACCAAACTCTGGTTTAAAAAACACTACAATAATAATCAGAATCAAAGCCATTACAACCGCTACGACAGAACTCAGCAACAGAAGAAACGGTTTACTCATACTTGCGCTGTTTTATGTGAGTAATATTTGTACTAGTGACTTCAGTGTTTTTATATTAATGTTATTTAAATGCTTCAGTTTGAAATAACTAATTTAGACCCATTTCCATTAATGTTAGTAGTATCTCCCGAGCATCAGAGATATTGGTGAGGAGCCGCAGAGCCCAAAGGATCCGAAAGGACAGTACCCACCCAGCCACAGCCTGTTCAACCTGCTGCTTTCTAGGAAGAGATATAGAAGTTTCAGCTGCCGCACCACCAGACTGCAGAGCAGCTTGTTCCCCAAAGCTATCCGACTCTTAAGCTCAAATTCGTCACATGTATTTTATTCCTGTTTAATTGCTTCTATATTAATGTATTTTGTCACGATGGGACATCTTTGACAGCTGGTGTACCTGGAGAAAATAAAGTATTTGAAATGTCATTGGAAAAGATGTTACATAGTGGATACTATTCCATGAAAAAAAGACCTGAATTAGCCCAGATCTTCATCCTTCAGATGTGATTGGGTAATCCTTAACATATGCAGTTCTTTGCGACGCAGCAGTTAGTATTAGTAAACCTTCCCGTAACGCTCTGTTATAATTTTTACAGAAAGTAGATGGTTGACGAGACATCTGTGAGCTGCTGTTTGGCCATTTGAGGACAGATGTTGGCAACAACAAATTGCCATGGCCATTAACTTAAAATAAAAGATAAGAAGTACAGAAATTTGAGTTTAAATTTAAAATAAATCAGCAGCATTACAGTGATAGCGAAGGTGAGCAAAATTCTCAGAGGCAACAAGTAGTGATTTTATACTAAAGTGTACCATAGAAAAGCAACGTGTGCTTGTCTTCCCTGATTTCATTACATACAGCACATGTGTATGTGAAAGAGGTCAAATTCACCTTTTAAACTTATACACAAAACTACAGTATGAGCTTCAATCATGTGTGTTATGTTTTTTCTTTGTTCAGTTAAGGTTGATATGATGATTGGACCATCATCCCAAACCAAGCACCTAGTTTGTGGCAGCTCTCACTGTTGTTGCACCTAATGTAATTCTTGTTTAACTGTGGGAATTTAGTGATAAAGATGAGGCTTTCTCTCAAAACATCTATAGAAAAGTGTGGCACAAATGTGTTGGTGCCTTACAATCTGTTGAGAAATACCCCGGTGTTGAACACTACAATCGTTAGGATTTTTATGTTCACAATTATGCTCATTAAACAATTTGATTGATAAATAAATGGACTGTCCTTATTGAATGTGGTTGTTTAAGAAAATGAATATAGAGAAAGTAAAACCTATAAAACATTATGCATCACACTATTACAATAACAATATCATGGTTATGCCCTCACTTTTCAACCCTTTCTGTCAATCCCCACTTCTGTCTGTCCATCCAGAAACAGAGGACGGTGTACAGACTGACGCTGGTGAAGGCCTGGAATGTGGAGGAGATGCAGGCCTATTCGGAGCTCATTGCGTTGGGCCAGCCAGACTTTGTTGAGGTCAAGGTAGGGTTCAGCAAAGATATCTGTATATGCATATATATGCTTGAATTTTCTCCTTCCCATCTCAGTTAATGTCTTATTTATCAGTAATTTTCACAGTATAATAATTCGCTTTACCCATGTACAAGATCTTGTTTTTCTTTATTTCTTCTTGTGGTGTCTGTGTTTTCACATAACTCAGCTTTTGATGGGATAGGCGACTGGATTAAACGCATCTAATAGCAAAACCTGTCACATTTGTGCCTCGTTAATGAGTTTTCTAAAAGCAAACGAGCCGGCAGCTCTGGTTTTTACAGCAGTAATTCTTTCAAGAGAGCACATGGTATCATCTACACACACACACACACACACACACACACACACACACACACACACACACACACACACACACACACACACACACACACACACACACACACACACACATCCATCATCTGCAATCTTAGTCTACCAAGATCACATTATGGAAGGGCAGTAATGTCTCTGAAATATAGTCTTGCTGTATTCCCAGCTGAAAGTAAACATCTAGAATTAAATGGCAATTTAATGGAAACATTATTATTGAATTAGTTCCACAGCTCCAGACATACCTAAAAATCTCAAATTAAAACAAATCATCAGCATCTTCCTCGCTTGTCTTACTGATGTATACATCAAGGGAACAGGCTGATCTGATGCTCAAAGCTGAACTTTATTCAAGTTATGTATAATTTCTAATGTTTTGTTTAATCTAAAATGAAACATTGATCATGATTACTGTCACTAAGAGCCAAAAATACTTATTTTTTGTTAGTTGAAGCTTTGATTACTTAAGTTCAGGGTCATTTTGCGTGCAAGTGAATTTATGTTCGTCTAACTTTATCAATAATTGACTTCTGAACTAATCAGATAGTGAGTGACAGAGCAAACTTGACAATTTAGTTGCTTTTACACCTGGCAAATAAGTTAAAACCTGAGTCTTTATTTGCTGTAAAGAAGAGGAGAAGTTATTGCGGTGTTGGATACATTGTTAGTTGCCCTCAGATAACAATGTATGGACATAAAAAGACCCTGAGCAGAATGAAATTTCTTAACAACATCCACAGTTAGTGCCTACACTGCTGTTATGCTAACACCTTGCAAGGCTTATGTTGCTAGAATTTCTGTATATGTCGATGTTACCAGATAAGTGTCATATTTCACTGGAATGGTGGGCTGTGTACCACACTGACCTTATCCCAGTCATTTGCTAGAAATGGTATTAATAGTAGGGGAAGGGGCACCTGGTGGCAGTCTGAGCTATGGTTGTCATAGTGACAAACTCGCCTGAGTCTGTGTTCATTATTCAATGAATTACATCAAGGTATGATCCCAGGAATAATAACGGGCAGTAGTAGATGTAGTAGCTGCGGCAGCAGTTGTAGAGTCTTTCTTCCTGCCTGTATTTTGCCTCCATTCCAATCTCCACTTTTCAAACTTGTACTCCCCGTTACTCATTTGGACCTGTCACCCTAGTACAGCGGCGCTCAGTGCCCCTCAGTGGCATCATGTTATATCGATTTCTATTTTCAGCTCACATGTGTTTCTTCATCTTATTTGCCAGTTAATGTGTTGAATGAAATAGATTCTCCAAAAACACAAATCTGCTTTAAGCAACTGTCTTGTGTAGTGGCTGTATCTTTGCCTGCTGTGACTGCTGCATTATGAATTGTTTCTTTATGTTCCATGTCACAGTTCTCATCATGCTGTAGTATGAGTATTAATTTATTTGTGGCTGTGAGCTTGTCTAAATGAGCTGTGGGTATTACTGGATTCAGCAGTGCATTTCTTCCCAAATAGCTGCTAAGCTTTTTTTAAGCACTTTGTAACTCTTTGTTTAGAGTGCTGTTCTGTATTATTGCAATATAGTATACTTTTTAATGGCCCCTTTTTAGTTCATGTTGCCATCATAAAACACTGAACTCATAAGGAAATACTTGTTCTTTGATTTGATAATGTATTCTGCCTCATCCCAGTAAAAACTGCACTTGAATTTGCTGTCTGGTGCAGTTTATCCTCTGTTTCTTTTAAACAGTGCCTAGACTCTATAAAAATGAGGCCAGCACAATTAATTGTCTCCACCTTAGATAGCAGAGATAAGAGAGTTCTGACATTTTGAAGTCAACTTGAGTTGAGATTCAGTTGTAATCTATTTTCATTCCACTGCAGGGTGCAAGCTAATTGGTTTGAACAGGTGATCTGCTCATTTGTCAGGCCTCATCCTGCCTTCCCCCACACACACCCGAATACACACACTGAGACACACCTCATCCATCCTCTTGTGTGTCCCATTACATGCTTCGCTCATCCTAAATGTCCTCCTATAAAGGCAAAAGTACAGGTGAAAGGCTTTCCACAGACAAAGTTGGCATTCATGAAGCACCTCTTCCCACACATGGGAATCTCTCCCCACAGCCTCTCATTTATAAGCCAGAGCACATCTCATTCCTGTATCACCTAGTAGCAGAGTTCCATCACTGTCCAGTTTCCATTGGGATCCCACTGCTCACGGCTATTGCATTATTTTCTTTAACCCTCATTTTTCCAGTTTACTGAGCTGAATGGTCTCATTCTGCAGCCGGCTCACACTTACACAGAATCCCACCTGGGAAGTGCCCAGTACCAACAGAGTTTTATCGGTCTGCCACTAGCCGATAGGAGCATTTGGGTGTCAAGTCCTTACTCAAGGACATCTTTACAGTCAGTAATAAGGGAGAGCAGTAGAGTTCAAATGATATATCACATGGCCTTTAATATCAGCCAACATTATCTTATATCAGATACAGGTCAGTCAAATTAAAGGAAAAAAACAACATCAAGATGGAAGACAATCTTCATATAAGACTGGCAGCGATGTTGTTGTAGTGTATATAATGTAATAGCCTCGATCAGCCTATTGATTGAGCCTATTGAGTTGTTCACATCAGCCACACTTTAGCACTATCTGCAGGTCAGCTGTCACTTAGCCAACATTGCAGCACTGTAAACAGAAAGGCAAACCAGATATTATATATAACCATATTTTCTATAATTAGAGCAATTAATAGTGGATTTGTGAAGCCCGAGTTTGCGCTGAGAATGGAAGTTCTTTCTTCATATTGCTGATTTCCAGAGAAAATGCACATAAACCACGTGTAACTTTTACTACAGAAACACAGTTGAACTTTCAGAACTGTGAGAGAACTGCAGCAGTTTTCTACTCAAAATAATGAGATAAGGGAGGCAGTACTGTAATGAGTTCCTGCAGTCGGAAGGTCGAAGCATGTGGTGTGGAAACCAAACAAAAGTTTGTGAATTGTTTGTGTGTGTGAGAAGGTGTTTTTTTGTTTTCCGCTAACGAAGTGTTTTTGGGAAACTTGCTGGCCTAGCACTATGTTCCCATATTAAAACTAACAACCTAACACTCCTACGATCAGTCCTCCCCTTAGTGCCTTTTGTATAGGGAGACGCACTGTGTTTGGCATTTTCCGTCTATTGTCCATCCTGTGAAATATCTCTGCACCCATGCATGACCCACACATAAAATGGAAAGCAGTACGTGAAAGTTCAATCTGGAATTATGCCTTTAGGAGAAACGTAAATGTCCGTAAATGTCCTTGCGAACCTAAGCAGAGGTTTGCAGCCTGGAGAAGCATCAATCCAGCTGAAGGGAGTGTAGGATTTTTTTTGTCCTGTTGTGATTCGAGGCTCAGATTGGGCATAAAATAAAATGAACGACTGACAGGTTAGTTTCTGGCACAGACTATGGTGACACAGGACATCTGTTACCTAAACTGTGCGTAACAGGACCCAGTTCTATTTGACTGGCTAACAGAGTCTATTGCTGGAAAAAGCTCAGTTGCTGTAAGCAAGAGGCATGCTGGCAATGAAAATAAAATTTAAAAAGCATGTCTTGATGTTTTTGTGGGCAGACTGAAACTGATACACCAACTGTGGGGGTTATCATCTGGCTTGTTTAAGAACTGGCTGGGGGTTTGTTAAGAACATTCATTTCAGGTTTATTGAGAGCACTTAAGGGTAACTAAAAACTAAAACAAATTAATTATCATAACAGAGATATTCTTGGTGTTATAAAAAAACAATTGCTGTTGTCAGTCTGACATGCTGATTCAGCTTCTCAGTGAGTTGTCAGTTCGGAGACAAGTGTACAACCCATTGAAATCAAACAGTATGTAGGCTCAGAAACATACAGAGGATTGTGCAGACATCAGATTCACACAGCCAGCAGACAGAAGAATTCGTCATCTGGTTCACTCTCACCGAAGAGTTGGTTTTCTCCTTGTAATTATCTTAGCATGTTAATTCCTTTACCCTTTAATTTACCTGGTCCTGTGTCTTATGCCTACACTGTTGGGTAGTGAGGCACCCATGCTGAACTTATCTCCTTTTACTTCTGTTTTTCTTTTTTCCTCTGCCTCTTTCGATTCTTTTTTATTGTGTGTTTAAATCTGCTCTTGCACTCAAATGTGTTATGTGCTGTAAATGTCAAAGCAATTTTTTGCCACCCGTGCAAAAATGAATTCAACCAGCTGTGTGACAATGAAAGTCTCTCCGTCTCTATCTCCTCTTTCTTTCCTCTACATTAAGCTAATCTAGCCTACTTACATGCTATGTTTTATTGCTACTTAAGTAATCAGCAACATGCTTCAAGCAATGATGTGCTGTTAATGGGTGAAAAACAAACTTCTGAATCTAAGTCCTCCCCTGAGACTTTGCGGGCTTTTCTATTAAATATTGCTCAGAGGAGTTTGTATTGATCTACCACTATGTGGCATTTCACTTTATCCCAGAAAGCATAACACTAACAAGACAGCAGGGAGCTTTGAATTGGAGAGTTAATCAGAGATACCCATCAAATGTGTCTGTGTAGTGATGACAGCGTACTTTACACAGGAACTGAGATGTTAATATAACCACTCACATTTTCCACTTTTTTTGTGCACTGCTTCCTTTTATCACACAAATAGAGAAGAAAAGAACAAAAG